TGTACAAGAAGGGGGTATTTTTTTCATACACAGGAATCAAATTGACACAATTTGCCTTGAACTTTGATAAAAAAAAAAATTAAAAAGCCACTTTATCGAATTATTAAGTTTTATTTGGAGAAGCGACGATGCGATTAAAATCAATCTGAAAACGAGACATGGCATTTGAACATCTCGCAGCGGCATTAAAACCTCAAAAACAATAAACAGGTGGAGGCTCGATGTAAATGAATCGTTTTGTCTGTCATCAAAGCTCTCATTTCACGGCCGGTCGGAGGAACCATCAGCTATCTCCGTATAAATAAATAAATAAATAAATAGGAAAATGTTTTTACGATCAGTAGGCTTTGGAGTCCCCCGAGTGATCTCTTCGGGCGACTGCGGTCGCCGTCAACGCCGTATCATCGCCACGTAGCACGGGTAACATTAAACCGGCCCGCCCGCTCCGTCTAAATCTCGCGGAACTGGGGACACTAGTGATGTTGATGATGATGACAGAATACTGTAATCTCATCTCTTGGTAAGAAAAATAGTATATTGTGCAGTGCATTAATTGCATGTTATCTGGATGATGAATGTGTGCAACATCCGCGCGAGTGAAAATGGGTCTTATTGGGGGGAAAAGATGTCCTCAAAAACGAAAAACAAACATCCAATACAAGAGGGAAAAAAGCTATGAGAAGCAGGCTAGTTGGGGCCTTTCCTCCGCTGAGGTGTTTATAGATCGTTTGAATTAACCCGCACCCAGCGTCGACTAATTCCCGTATAAATTCCCCGGGTTTCTTAGACCACGATTGATGGCAATCGTGTCGCCACCGAACAAGGCTTAAAAACACATTTCAACTAATCAAAACTAATGAACCCTAAATTCATGTCTTCTGCTCCTTTCAATCCCGGAAAATTCAATCACCACGAACGTAGATTGGAGATCCATCCACCCCCGGGGAATTCCACCCAACTTCACGGAGGGAAAATACAACGAAGGCTTACACAATTGAGAAACAAAAAAATCTAGATGGAGCTTCAGTGTTTTATAAGGTTCATCTTTTAAGGAAAAAAAAACACGGAAGCCTCTTTCGACTGGGGATTTGAAGATGATGATACAATTACACATAATGGAAGCCGTTAAAAGGCTTTTCTTCATGCGCTCCTGGAGCAACTCGTAAGCGATTCTAGTCGGCCCGTGTCAACGATTATGAGTAGGCCGGAGATTTACGGAAGGGGGCATCGGTGTAAGTTGTTCGGGGAAGAAGCTTGGAGTAACTGGTGCCGAATGATAACCAGCTCGGTACCGTACATCTAGATCTCCTGGGGTTGCCATTGCAGTGTCCTATAGCCAAGGACGTGATGAGGGGATGCTAGTACCTCCACTCCCCCACCCCAAAGAAACACGCAATATAATCCCTTCCCCCTCCCCCTGATTTTGATCAGCTCCCCTACCCCACCCCCCTGCATAATGCACCACCATGTCTTCGGGTATTGTGGTTTCAGTATTCTTACTTATAGGTGAACAATGTTGAGCTAGGTTTTTTTTTAAATAAGCCCCACCCCGTCGGATTTCATAGTCTACATCGGTGAAGTATTACTGCAACCGAACGTCAAAATATCTCCGACACAAACTACAGATAGGTGTGTCCACTCCCCCTTCCCCCCTAAAAACATGAATAAAAGTATCTAAATATACACTGGGATCTCGCGTCTTATGAATAGATATCGACGTTTGCCAGAGAGTTATGTATATAATGATCGTTCTCTTTTGTAGTTAGAGCTGCCTATAGCAATCGTTGCATTAGGCCTTGACATTTTGCGTAAGTTTTTGAAAGAAATTAAAGCGACAGCATCTCAAAAGCTTACACTCCTTTTGTAACCATTTTGACGGACAAAATTTGCGCCATTTATCATCCGATAATGTCAAATAACATCAACTTCGAACAACGTCCCCATTAGTCAGATGATGTCTACCCGGTATACCCCCCCCCCCCCCCAGTCTAAGTATATATCATCCGTTGTTCGACCTAAGAAATTGTGTCGTCATTTCGTGCAGTACTGTAAATTAAACAGTACTGTTGATTATTAAATTTGCTCCCACATTTTTGGTTAATACGACGGGTTAACGAAGACCCGATAGATGGCGCCCGTTGAATGGTCAGAATCTGGAGGTCAAGAGGCAGTGTTGTTATGCGTAATCTATCGCCGAATTTGCACGGATATCATTGCAAATATTATCGTTGGCAAGTATTATTGCTGGCCGCAAAATATTTGTCACACCCCCTCATTCAAATTGGTCTGCCGACGCCCATGGTCCCCCCCCCCCCCCCAGACCAATATCACCTGTGGATAAGCCACTGTTTCCAGGCTCTGATTGTACGTTAAACAGCGCTCTCTTGTTCATGCACGGACCGGATAAGACAAGCAGTTATTTTTTTTACTTCTTTTTTACACAATTTCTATTTTTCTTTTTTTCCTTTTTTTTTTTTTTTTTTTTTGCAGAAGACTACGCGAAAATTCGTCAGATCAGAGGACACGTTTTTGCCAACGTGATGAGCCTTGACACGAATTTGGGTCCAGTGAACAAAAATAAACAACATTTTTCATTTTATTTTTATAACATGTTGCATCTTCAAATCCTCCATCCGCTTTCATAACTTCTGCGGGATTCTGTAACTTCTGTCTTTCGGATCGTTGGCCTAAGATGCCTCGCGAATGGTTCAGCTGAAGTTTGCTCCTCGCTCCAAACTCCTCAAGATAATAAAGCAGCACTTTATAAACATCCACCGTGGGTAATAATAACGTTCCTTATCTAGTCCTGCTGACAGCGGGCCGTCAACGGGGTGAATTATCTCCGCCGGTACTCCATTTGCAGGTAACACTATATCATTTAATACACAGTCAACTTTCAATCTCAGCCCGAGTAGCGTGATTAGGTCCTCTCTTTAGCGGGGAGATGGGTTGTGTTTCACCCGTCCGTCCAGCGGTGAGCGCTCCGCTTGAAATTTACCGCCGACAGCCGCCCGGCTGACACTTACCAAACAAAGCATATTAATTGAATAGAGGGATTTAAGAGGGAGGGAAAATGAGGTAAGCTTCGTAAACTTTTGGCAGGATGTTGTTTCTTTCCTCTATTCATTATAAAGCTGTCAATTAGGTTGATTGTGTATTTGTAGGTATAACACGACATGAAATATATTGCGCTTCTGCTGCCGAGGCGGCTAGTTTTTGTGTGTGAAACGTTACTGCTTCGTAAATGAAGCATGGACACAATATTCTAATGCATCACCCAAAAGCACATTAATTAGCTTTAATTTACCATTAAAATCGGATTTTATGTTGATTACAATTCCTATCGATGGAATCTCAGCGTCGAGGGTAATGTGGCTTGTTCGGCTTTTCATGTCACTGACGTTGAATTTTCATGCAGTGAACATTCCTTGGTGTCAGTGCACTGGCTAGTCTAGTGAGTAGCACCCGTTATCCACGGAGCCATCTCCTGTCTAACGTCTGATATGTCAAAGCATGCAGATTTATGCAAGCCGCGCGCCAGCCAATCGGAGTCGACTTTACTAAATCGTGACTTTACTAAATTGCCTTGTTTATTTGTAGATTTGTAGTTTTGTAGTTTTGTACAGCGCTTTGATCTTTGTTAAAAGCGCTTTATAAATGCTCCATTTATTACGTCATTTCTTTCCAAAATCAGGACTAACGCTGTGATTGGTCAATTCGAACGCAGCGTTTTGTAATACAACAGCGCCTAGTCTGTACGATCTCTGTACGAGATCGGCAGCGGCCGTACATGGTCGGCCAATTTCTTTTAGCCGACTTTGATACGACCATTACGACGTGAAATACGGAAGATGACGTCACTTCGGCATCGGTTCTCGATCTTTTGTGTCGGTACTCAATCGGTTGTGTCGGTACTCTGTCGGTACTTTGCCAGTTATGTCGTAACGAGATCGGGACTCACTCGTAAATAAAAATTCAATTGAACGGATCCAAGAGTCGTAGCAAAGTCGTAATATTCGGTTTGAGGTCGTTTCGGAGTCGAAGTATTCGGGACGACATCGCAGAAATATGAATTTGGCGCCACATTTCCTACGTTTTTGGTACGATTTTCAAGATATTTTTAAATCTCATGGTCTTGGCGGGGTCTTAGTCTTTGGTCTTGGATGTGTGACAGGGGCTTTAGGGGATCAGGTGGCGCTATGCACCGTTTATAAAGCGCATTCAGTAACCAGAAAACGTTCACTTATCAACATATCATTTTACCTCTTGTTTTTATTAACCGGCTTTTTAAACAATTTCTTTTAGACATTACCTCAGTCATACTGTGTCATTATTGACTTGAATTAAATGTTCAATACGGAAGACCTAGTGCCATGTTAAAGATGGATTTCCGATGCTAGTTTTGAGTTTGAACTCTAAAATCAGATTTTAAATTTTGTTTTCAATTGCTATTTTCCTAGCAATATAAAAGTTATTCACATTTGAATGAGACATTAAACAAAAAATCCACCGACGTTTATTGATGGAATTATGTCTTCACAAGTTCGAATTCTTGGCCGCCAGACAATAATTCGGCTCTCACAGGGTTATTTGTGCACAAAATGAAAGCCTTTTTTTTTAAAGCGTTGCAGGCTCCCAAAATCGAAAAAAGTAGGTTTTTTTTCCGTTAAAACCAAGAAAAAAAACCCGCACAAATTGAAAATTCGTTTGGAGAAAAGCAAGCTCGATCGGAAATATCTCGGAAGCCAACGAATTCGTGTTCAAGCATGAGTCACGTGATTGTGCCATGTAATTTCTGGAAGAAGTGTTTTGAGTAAAATAATCAGGTTTTTTTTTTAACCCCAGTGACCCCATGTAACCTTTGACCCCAGTTTGGTCATGTGACATGTTGGGGCAGGGCTACTGATACTTTTGACAAAGTTTGGTTGAAATCGGTCAAAATGTTTAGGAGCAATAGACAATGTCAACGTTTGTTACTAACTAACGGACTAACAGAGAAACATGATGATTTGTTGAGCTAAAAACACACGAATTCAAAATTCGTTAGGAAAAAAAAGTCTTTTTGTTTGAAGAGTTATGGGTATGTATGTTCAAAACATACATGAACATTCCGGAGCATGTGATCATATAACACTTACGGGACACCGCAGTTATGGCCACATGTTGTGGAAGCTATAGTGTTCAAAACGGCCACCAAATTGTCACAAATTAATGCGATGTGGCCTCCCCACGGCCTCCCAACTGGCGCACTGAATTCTGTGCTTTTGGATTGGTTTGTATATAGAACGAGAGCCCGCCGCGCACGAGAGCTATACGTGCCGAGCCAAAAGACTCTGAGGCCGTTTGCTCAGCACGTAGCTCACCGTGTGCGGCGGGCTTTGCGCGTTGTGGGTGTTTCAGGAGATTCTTTGCTATTTTGTTTTATTAGCAATGAACGATACCCATTGCCCTCTGACCCCGCCCGAACGCATTATGGTCTGTTAACCTTTTGGACATGGTTGACACAATAGCAGCGCGCTAGTTGGATATTACGTCTGTCATAATTATCTCGAGGATAATCTGGAGACCGAGCATAAAGAAATAAACATTTCCTTGTGAAATAGAACAAAATCATTTTTAATTATTTTGTTTCTCAAGCACTGAATATTGACTGTGTGTCTGTTTTTGGTATTGCAAAGCATTTTCGTTAAGATTTGTCTCATCAGAAGAGATACTTTTAAAGAATTTCCTGTTGAATAGCTGCAAACGATTAGTTTTAATTTTTAATAGTTGTTCTTTATCAATGTATACTTTCTAAGCTCAGTTAATTTAATCACGTTTCAGTCTTTGAAATATTATGACGATCGATGGCCATATTTGACGGACTTATATGATCCTTTGGGTGATTCAGAAGGCGATTTAAGCTATATACTGTCCATTTTGCGCAGTTTTGAGACAGCTTTATGCTGCGCCGTTGCCAGGGTCAACATGTCGCTTGTTATGACTTCCTCGTTGTCGTTGGGAAGACGGAGGTAGCGTATTTTCATCATCTCTTCGCGCCATGCGGTGTTCGGGCCTTTATCCTCGATCTCTACCGTCTCCTGATTGCTGTTGCAATCCACGTGTTTTTCCATTTTGAGTTTTGCTGGTGAGGTTGGCACCTCCTCCGGTTTGGCCTGCACGGATTCCTCTTTCCCCTCGTCTTGAGGGCGCCCTCCAATGTGCTGGAGGCCCTTCATGAGTTTCTCCTTACGCTGCTCAAGTTCAAGGGCCAGCGACTCGTTGTCGTCAAGGCGTGCCTCTCTCAACTCCTCTAGCTTCCTCACGCGAGATTCCTGAAAAGGCGAGACCGCGGTGGAAATCCGCCGGATGGCAGCCGGGGTTTTGGCCGGGTACGAGCGAGAGAGGACGTCCTCAAGTTTGGGCTCGTGGCACGAGAACGCCGCCGGCGGCTCCACTGAGGCGGTTCCTGGTGGTGAACGGACGGGGGCGCTGACGGGGCTAGGGCTGGGCAAGGCGTGGCATGACTTGCGTCTGCTGGCAGGCCTGGCAGAGGATGGGGTGATACTTGAAACTTTGCGACCAAACCGAAGAGCCTGATTGACGGGCGCTAGCCGGTGCTCGGATGAGATCTGCGTGGAGGATGGAGCACAGATGGAACTCTTGGGCCGTGTGGGCGGGTAGGGCGTAGAGAACTTACGCGTGGTCACCGGGGAGTAAACTTTACGAACTTCCTCGGGGACGGTGGGCAGATGTGTGGAAGAGTTTGCCGGGATGGTTTGCAACCTGCCCATGGCTGAGCTGGCCCGTGGACGGTTGAGCATCTCAGCAATGCTTGGCTCCTCCTTGGTGGGTGAATTACCGCCGGTGAGTGGGCCGCATATGAACGTTGCAGAGCGGTCCCTTTTCAATTCTCCCTCTTTGGGTTTGGACAGAACATCCGATGTCGTGGTTTGCGGTATAGGTATCGGACGCGAGGCGCTCCAAGATGTCATCGTGGAAGTGTCTAATTTTCTTACGTCTTCGGCAGACTTCTTTTTAGTCAAACCGGGTTTCTGCGCCCCAGTTGTTTTGGGAATCGCGTCCTCCTTGCTCTTGAAGTCCGGTTTAGCTGAGGTCGCTGATTTACGGACTCGCTTCTGACCCATCGCAAGCGCAGATGGGACGATGATGGCGGACTCTGCCCGCAACGACTTGGGACGTTTTTGCGAGGCAGTGGGTGGCTTGGCGTACGCGTTAGCGGCCGAACCTGTTGGGGCGGTAGTCAGTTCCAGGGAGATTCTCTGGCCGCGCTGAGCGGTTAATCGCGCACTATGGTTCCTCAGCTCCACCTTGTTACCGGCCTCGGCGGTGCTGTGAGCGTTGGGAGTCGCCCTCTCCATCCCCTTGATTTCGGCGATCTGCTCCGGGGTCAGGTTGGACCGGATCTGGGAGGCCTTCTTCTTCAGCCGCTCATAGCGGGCTTTGATCTGTTGCTTCTCGTTATCCAGAATCCGCCGGGAGTAGGTCTGCTCCTGGCCGATGTTCCGTAGGGCCTTGTCGAAGGACCGACCTGTCTGCAGCTGGGCACCGGATTTGGCCGAGGGACCTGGAACCGTGACGAGCGGCGGTAGCGTCCTCCCTGTCGACGGTCGGTTGGCCATCAGCCTGTTCTCCATTTTACCGGTCCACTAGCTTCTTTCTTCCAATTTCCTTTCACAAATCTGAAGCAAAAAATCAGAGAAAATTGTCCATTGTAAATATTATGGTTTTCCTATCTATTCCTAAGTTTATGTTATAAATTTCAGTGTTTCTTGAATCACCGAGCGACGTGGTTTGAATATCTCTCGTATATTCTTGCACATGTATGTCTACTACTATAACTTAGTTGTATGTCCTATACGTGCAGTTTCGGCATTGGAAGCTTTTGCGTAATATATAGCTACTGCGTTATTAATGTGCCAACTTGCCAAAGACATAATTATACACCAAAAAAAAGACAATTTTTATTGTAAGTCTCCGTGCATGTAGCCGAACATCTGTAAACAAAAACAGCTGTAAAATGAATGTCAATTATTTAGCCAGCAACTTGATTTTGCTCACGCGATAAGTCTTCAACTTCAACTGCCCGTCTTTAAAAAGTCATCGCGCTCAGAGCAAGAAGCTCAAACCGTGCTGCCAAAAGAAGCCTCGTTTTCATCTTCAATCAAACGAATTCAGCTCGCTCACATTCCGTCAATCCTTCAAGTCGTCGGTAAAATTGAAATAGCTGCATCGTACCGTGTTCTTCTCGTGCTATAAACCTTGCTGATGTGAACATGTTCTGGATCAACCACGACTCTAAACACCTCCAATTAACCTTCCTATACAATTACGGGCTGCTGATATTGCGACAAATCAAACACTACAAAGCCGTGTGTACCGAGTTAATTATTTCCAAACAGGCGTTCCACCCCAAAGTTAACCGATAGAGAAAAAAAACCCAACGGCAATAGGCTATTAGCACGTGGACATCTACCGTCGGCACACAGACATCTCCTCAGTTACTAATGAGTACAAAGTTTGGCTTTAGTTCTCGTTATCTCCACCACTCAAAACCAGCCACCGGTACACACACAAACTGTTTGCACTATAAAGAAACAAAAAATAAATCGGATCGTTATCTTGACGCATATTGTCAAAAAACGCGGAGAGGAAAAAAAACCGGACAAGTGCTTGTCAACAAACATACTCCAACATTTTTATTTAGGAACTTGTGGGTTAATCGTGTTAGCTTTTCTTTAACCATTGCTGGGTGTAAATTAATGCTTTTGGTGTTTTATGGCGCAATTGTGAGAGTCCATTGCGGCTATAGAAGAACTAACAGCGATGGGATGATTACCCTCGTTTGATGGTCGCATGAAAGAAATGTCAACATCAATTAAATGATTTAGAATCAGCTCGAAAATTTGAAGAAGTGACGCGTTTAGTTCAAGAAGGTTCAAGGGGAAATTCCAGGCATAGCAGGTGCAAAGGTTTTTTTATGGACGTAAGAGGGCGTTGTGACAATGAGACATTTTCAAACGATAATTGCATCATACAACAATCCTGGCGAAACAATCCTTTTTGAAGACACGGGGCCCATGAGCCCTTTGCGGAAAGGATTTTCACGAAAAATGTTATCAACCTAAACAGTGAAAACGTATAGAGCTCAATAAAGTCAATCATGCGAAAAAAATTTCTAATGTGGAAATGGTTCATGATGTGACGATCTCGTTGCCATTTACTTTCTGTGTTTCCTTTTCTTATCGATCCACGTAGGCTACACCTTAAATAAATTAACAATATTGTTCTTCGTTTCAAGTTCAATGTGTTTTTGATATAAATCAACTTTTTTTTGTTATCTCAACAGCTTGTTGACTCGAGTTTGCATCTGATGTACCACATCATCGATTTTCCTTGAAGTCGGTTGAGCTTGTTTTCGACATGCCTTTATTGGAACGCAAATAATTTCAAAACCCTTGTGTAAATCAAACCAATACTAACCAGAGATTAAGTTCAGATTCCAAGCTTTAAAATGATATAAAATGAATGGCGGTACGTGTTTCCGCGGCGATGCTAGAGCCTCGCAAAAACTGTTGCGGGTATTTTGGGACGCGCTGTATTGTTACAGCGCATGGCAGCAGTGAAACAATACAAAGGCACACACTTGGACAATATTTGAACACGGCTTTTACTAGAAAATATAAAGTCAGGTATAATGGCAAAACATTTTTGTTTCATTGTTACTTCTGTATCAGCCCGGTAGTCTAAATTCTGACATGATATTTCAGGCCCTAGTCATATAACTCACTTTCATTGCTGGTATGATGAAGCGGCTGATTTCAATTTTAAGACCAGTTTAAAGGAGAGATTGTATGCTGGGACTTTTTAGGGGTTCAATAGATTCGACAAAATTAACGATCGTTAATTAAATAATTAATTCGTTGGCGCTATAAATGACTTGTTGCGCGAAATAGTTTAATCTGACTTCAGACTACGAACCGAGCTTGCCGACTACTTTGAATATGTTTTTAACCAAAAGGTCAACATATCAACAAAATGGCTTGATGGCTAGGCTTGATACGACTAAACGAGCTAGACATCTCCTGTCATCTTTGGACCACTTGGACAATGTTCAGTTGAGTGGTAATCGCACTGGGTAGCTGTTGAAACCTTTTTTCAAGTATGGCTGGTACTTTTTGGTGGTGTGGAAACGACACAATTCCAGGGCAATTTCGATCAAGAACTAGGTGAACCATAGGTCGACACTCATCTGCTCGAACGTACGCTGGTCGACGACAACGGCTGAACTAGTGTCTATTGCCTCCTTGTTAAGCTTCCTAGTGGATGTTTTATGTCTATCAAGAATCGAGAACCCGTCGAACATTTTGGAACAGCCGTTCGAGGTTGGCCGCATTAGTGGTTACCAAACATGTTCGTCAATCGGTGGGGGACGGGGGGATATTTTTAAGTTGGGGATATCACATCGTTGGTCCCCCCCCCCCAACTTTTTTCGTCCCCGAATAAAAATCAAAGCCTATATTTGATACCATAGCTCAGAAAAGCTGATTCAATGACTCCGAACCTAATGATCTTTTACTCAAGAAACAATTGGTAAAAGTGGTGAGATATTGCCGCAGATGGCACCACAGAGCATCTAGAAACCACGCCGCAAGGGCTTCGCCCTTTTTTCACTCACATTGGTTCTGATAAAGGTATGTTTCCCCTCTCCCACTTTTGAGAAGCGATTGACACCCTTGACTAAATATCTTTATGAGTCAGGCTCTACAAATTACGCAATGACGTTGATCATCCCCCCGTTAGAGACGCTCGCACTTGCTTAATAGCGAGCAGGAACAAAATGGTGCGGACAAGACACCAATGACACCGTCACGTCAAAAAATACTTCCTAACTAGAGAGGCAGTCTTTGGCGTACATGGTCTTCAACCAAACATCATGAATTAAACCACTAAACTGAATCAATTATCACTGAGCTTAACCAATGTGATCAAGAGGACGCCACCAAGGTGTTATGAATATGAAAAGGCTGTTGAATAAATGGAAAATCATACTTTTTTCCTGCAATTGTGAAACCAAACAAGTACATTCATGCTTTGTCTAAGCCTCGGCTAGGGGACCGTGCACCCACGACCCCTCCACGTTCGTAACGCCACTGGCCTGATCAGACATTTTTCATCCTGATAAGTATAGGTTTAATCTTTGTCATGATGACAATATTGATTTTTTTTTTTTCATTTTAAACACCATTACATGTACTGCCCGTGCTCTATAACGAATCTTAAATTATATGTTTTATTTTCAGGATTTTTTTTTGATTTTGGCCGTCTGCATCTCTATAAAACAAATTCGTATATTTTGTGTTGCTGTTGAACACAGATCCGTCCCTGTGAGTAGACTGGTCCCCAGTCCTTATATATTATCTTTCTGATAGGGACGGAACCAGTCTCCGCTGTGAAAACCGAAATTATTGTCTGGCCGAAAGTATTTCGAAATGTGTAAAATTATCATTCCATGTTAACGGGCCTGATTTACTCGTTCCCATATACATACATCATTTAAAAGTGCAAAACAATAGTTAGTGGCCTGACGTCAGGCCACTAACTAATTTTTTGCATTTATACCATAGGTCCTTTTGGTTGGTAAGCAGTTTGCAACAGCTAATTCTAGTTTTCATCATTTAAAAGTGAATAACTTTTTCATTGCCAGAGGAAAAAAAAACATAGTTAATAAACTAGTCTACTTTCAAGTTAAAACTTCAAATTAACACGGACGGTACATCTGTAATAATACATTTGTTTACTGCGCAGTAGCGGTTGGTGCAGGTTTATATTAATTACTGACTTGAATGACTTGAACAAATGTCAAAATACATTACAACACAAACTGGCCGCTATAGTTTTTGACTAGATTCCCATTCATCGTAGATTTTTCACTCGTTCTCTCAACTAGAATGAACTTATTGGACTGGTGATGTTTGACTGCTAGTAAACTGAATAAAGAGAGCAAATTATTATATTCAATGACATAAAAACGGCGATATTTTGTTTGAATACGTACCCCTGAGGAGCTTCCTCCTTTGGTGGCCATATACGTCGACTAGCCTGGAAAATATTCGATCGTCTCGTTCAGTTCTGGCATCAGTAGTGCCAAGTTAAGTTTCTGCACTCACTTAGCGTTTGAGGATCTTGTTTCGAATGTTCTCTTCTGTGGGCTAGATTTTCCCGAAACAAAATCAGCACCTTAACGTGTCGCGTTACAAACCTTTTTATTTGGGATCCGAACTTTGATTACTAATCACAAACCTCTGCTCGAACACAACGGAAATCCGAAACCTCCCGCCATTTTTCATTAACCGATGAATGGTTTGGTAATATTTCGTGTCATTGTCATGTTGATGAATGACGAAGTTGTGAACAGAATGGTTCATAATACACACTACGCTCTCTGCATTGTTCCATTGTTTTGTACATTGTACACCGTCTTTGTGTTGTAGCAAGATGTCACCTCGTCGGCTGGCAGCACAGGACCTTTGTATATTTGCTTAGCGCAATATATAGCGACCCATACTGACTCCAATCCATTTTGATAAAGATAGAGTTATACCAATCTGCCCCAAGTTTTGCTGATTAATGTCCAGATTTCGCAAAAGGTTTAACCTCTGAACCATTTCACATGTTCGCTGAGTTTGTCATGCTTGAATTTGCAGTACTGACATTAATTAATTAGTGGTTTGGAGTAGATGGACCGTTGCTTGCAGAATTTTGAATTGGTAATGTTTGACTGACGAGTTTGCCTTTCTAATCGGCATAACGACTCGCTTAACATGGCCATTAAGAAAACTTATTTATTTCCCATGCACTCCATAACTGCTCTGTTTTGTGTAAATAGTCTTAGTCAGGGAGATTGGTGCAGAATACGATAGAATTTCTCATTTGATGATAAAAGCATGACAGTTGGCACACAGTAAGAATATGCCCTAGAGAAACTTTTTAGCTATAGGGCCATCGCAGATTTGTACTTTGAAAAACAATATGAGTAGAATAACAAGCAATTTTCAAAATGGCTGCCATTGCTTGTTATCCTACCTATATATTATTTCAATAGAGATGGCCCTATATCCAACTATCTTTCTCATGACATACTCTGACTGTGTGCCAAATTCAGTGCTTGTATCGTCAAATGAACAATCCCATCACCAATATGCCGTGCTGTCTGTAACAAACGTTATTATGAGAAGACAGCTTCTACAACTAGTCTTAAAAGGCCAAACTAATAAGTACCCGGTTTGAAGACTATTTTCTCCACTCCGTAACTGAGTTGAGTCTTTTAATGTCACGCAAATGTGAGATTTGTCTTCAATGTTGTTCCAAGATATCGTTGCCTATAAAAGAATTTGATGACAAGGGTGGATCAAGTGTTATGCAGCCGAGAACCATCTCATTTTAACACTGCTACAAGTCTTCTTCTTCTTCATTCATTCATTTTCATGATGACTTGATGAGTTGGGCCCAACTGTCCCTGTCGAGCATATTGTTGGAAAGAGATGGACCGCTCAGACCAGTTTCTAGCTCGATGGATGTTTTCAGGGTCATGTTGGGACGACCTCTTCGACGAGGGGCATCAGGATCCCAGAGAAGAACTCGACTAGCTGGCTCATTGGCTCATTACAAATCTTACAAATATTATTATTATTAATCATTTTCTGGTAATGAAACCAAGGATTCCTCAAAAGCGCCCGAGGCTTTGTAGCTCGCAAGCCTGAAGAAACCTGTGAAGAGAACACAATGAGAAGAAGTTACAGTGTTAGAGGTGGGAGGAAAAGCCAAGAGGAATATTCTGGGGTAAACCCACGGAATCAGTTAGGGACTGAAAACCCAGTCCACATTGGCCCGGGCGGGATCGAACCCGGGTCACAGCGGTGGAAGGCGAAGAAAGTACCGCTACGCCAACCTGACTCCCAGGCGGGATTCGAACCCAGGTCACAGCGGTGGAAGGCGAAGAAAGTACCGCTACGCCAACCTGACTCCCTAAATATCACGAGCCTCTGGAAACCAATTGTGCAAATGACAACTCAAATGACATGTAGCTGTCAAAGCAAGCGTTGGTTAATGAACAATAATGTCGAACGTGTTTGAACATATCTGTCAGGGCTTGCCACCATTTCCCAAAGAATCGCACTTGAGTGGACAAGGCTAGAAACTACATTGTACAGTCCACAATGTAGGCCGCGTCTACAGTTAGTCCCCCCCCCCCCAAACAAAATGTCCGTCTGGCTGTTTTTAAAATAATTATAATACCATGATGTCAATTTTGAAATTGTGTGGTTGTGCAGATACTCCTAAGCCTTGGCCTCAACCCCTATGAGTTTCATTTAATTTCAGTCACGCATCACTGCACAATTTTCAATTGAACACAACAAAATTTTTGGACACTGTGATCAAGTTCCATGGCTTAATCAATTTCAGTGGTGTGTTATGTAAGCAGTGTAAAATCCTGCATGTTGAGAAAAAAAGGCTGGTTTGGGATTGGAATCATTTGCTCTTGAGCATTAAACATGCCATGATGACTGATAGTCAAGCAAATGATTCCAATCCCAACTGCAGCCCTTTTTCACAACATGAAGGATTTACACAACTTACTGAAATGAGTAAGGCAAGGAACTTGGCCACAGTGTCCAATAATGTTGTTTAATTGATCAATAATGACAATTTGTGAAGTGATGCGTGACTTAAATTAAAGGAAAATCATAGGGGTTGAGGCCAAGGCTTAGGAGTATCTGCACAACCAACATTTTCCAAATTGACTTCATAGTCAGACAGCCACTTTTTTGGGGACATTTGTATAGCTCGGTCTTAATGTGGAAGCGGGCTGAGAAGACGTAGCCATAGCCCTATAGCAAGCCTCTTGCAGGCACGATACAACACCAATCAGTGCTCTGGATATGCTTTGTTCCACGAGCCAAACAGAGATTGCTGCATAGTTAGTACATTATCTGCTGATTTTGAAGCTGTTTTGAATTGTTGAAACATCACTAACTATGAATTCAAGCTTCTGTGGTTATCTTTTTATTTAAATTTAGAATGAAAACCAAAGTCCTATAGTGCGGTTGGCCGCCCGATAACCTGAAATCATTTCACACAGCGGTTTTTGCGTAGGCCTAAATGTGTGTATTTCTTTTTGTGCAATTTTGAACTGTTGTTTTTTCCTATTCATATTTCATAATTTAGCTAAACACTTTTTTGTTACATTCAATACTCTTACATTTACTTGGTGTTGCAATCAGGATGAATCAAATGAGTTAAAAACAGAACATCCTTATACAGACTGACAGCACCAAATTACTGCATTATATCTGTCAATTTGTGTCACCTATGAACAGACCTATAGCATCCCACGTGATATGCGGCAAACTGACTCTGAACACAATATAGGTCAACTACATGTATAGCTTGATTCAACGAGAGATTCAAGCGTCTGTTGCTAGGGAACGAGTCTTGCTTTTCCCGCTTGGCCGTTTCCATCAGAAATCAGCTTAAAAACCGAGAAAGCATTGATCTTGATTTACCTCACAATCTCTCTGTGAGCTATACAATGATGCCAACGCAAATGAAACCTTCTTGTATGTGGTCTACTGGTGCATGTGAGGCAAGGGACGTCATCTTTGACCGCACCGAAGCATCATGCCTATACGTGCTGGTATTATGACCGTGTCAGTGTTTAATATGAAAGACTCACACAATGAGGCAATTACATGTACATGTAGTATCGTTTGGACGCATAACTGATGTGTGCAGCCAGCATTTTCAGTATTGCGTGAAAACTGGCTGTGCAGAGAACAAAAAAAACCTGCGAATAGGTCGGGTTCAATATTATTGAACGATTGACTGTGGAATAAATGAGCAAATGCTTGACCACGCGTGGAAAGTGGTTTGTCATCAGAATCAGCGACCTTAATGTCCACAGGATGTGGTTGCATCTCTAAGCCTACGTGTACATCGTGTTGCATCTAGATGTGGGCTTGAAACAAAGATGGCGTCCTCCATACTCCGAGGGCATGTCCGCGACGCCTCATCCCCGTGTACGCTGTTCCTCCTCCTGCTCACCGTCTCGCTCCTTTTGGCGTGCTACTTGAGCTCCTCCTCGGAGAGATTGGAGCTTCGCAGTCGCGAGGCGCGCCTTCTGGCCAGGATTCGTACCGACGCCTCGTCATTGGAGGTGTTGGTGAACGCCACCCGTCGGATTGACCATCGGATGAGGGACGCCATGCGGCGTGTGGCTAGGCTGACCAGGGACAACGAGGAATACAAGTCCACCCTGACTGGTCTTAAGAAAGAAACAGCACGGCTGAGGAAACAAAGGTTTCAGATGTTCCAGCGACGAATGAAGATGCACATGGAGTTGATGAAACAAGGGAAAATTAACAAGACGAGTAGTAAGGCTCTTTTTGGTGACAGTGTGTACTTTTACGAGGAAAGCTCGTCTGACGCTCGTTGAAGCTTTTTATGCAGTTCAAAGCTACTAGTGGGTCTCAATGTGGGAACATCGTTTTGGTTTGTTTGGACATTGAAAATAATGTAAATTAAGGCTTAAGGAGATTAGCCTTTGTCTGAACATTTTTTTTTTAAATGTTGTTATATCATTTAAATAATGTAGGTCAAGCAAATAACCAAAAAATACTGATTTTCCATTGAAATTCCCTTTGGGAAGGAGGAAGTATATTTTGTTCAAGGGCTATACGTTTGTTGTTGTTGTTGTTTGGTGGTTTATGTTTTGTATTTGTTGGCATATTTTGTTCACAAATATAAAATATAACTCAAACTGCTTGTGGTGCTCTTGTAAGAAAGACCAGTCCGCTGAATCCGGCATGACCAAAATGATATTAAGCGACCGGGGCAATTTCGTCATTGTGCAGAACAATATAAAATATGCGCTGAGCCCAGACATTGTTAGATAAGCAAAAATTTGTTCCAAGCTGAAAAGTCTACTGACTGGTTCTCGGTTGAGTCTATTCCATTTCTCATTTTGTCACTCAAGAGTTTCTGCTTACCGACGACCACTTCAGTTGCCGTAATTAATTTAGGAACAATAATTAAGCTGCTGCAAACTGCTCACTGACTGGATTGGCCTGAAATACAGGGTGAGTAAAAAAAACAAGAAACCCAAATGTCGGGACTATTGTTTTATTGCAGTTTTAGATGTAGCACTTTCAAAATCTAGAACATCAAAGCCCAATTCAAAAGCTTTCGTTTAGTACAAGAATCATTTAAATCACGCATGTAGTTTTCACGTTACGGAATTTTGAACAAAACCACCGTTTTAAAGTTCTGTCCACGGATCACAAAAAAGGTGTGCGTTCTTTCAGCAAAACGAAAACAATTCACCCACATCCATATGTGATTTGTTTTCGTTTTGCTGAAAGAACACTGAAAAGTCATTGGAAAGCCAATGATTTGCGCTTTAAAGGGAATATACAACATTTGCTTTTGCAGCAAATTTTCAAAAATAAATGAATTTGGAGGATTAGTGTGCTATAGAAAATATTGTTAAACTAGCTTGTTTCACGTTTTGAGTTCGAAGATGCTGGAAAATCCAAGAAAACCAACCATATTCTTGTAGTCTGGTTCTCTGACCCCACTTAAGATGAGACGTTGCAATTTATAGACATTGGGAATTGTAAGGTGAGAGAATCAGTCAAGCAGGCTTGTACCCCTTCACAGATGTGTAATCAATTGCAAAGTTAATGCAGAATGACTAAAGATGAAAAATTAGGAGCAGCTTTTGAAAAATAAACCAGTTTTCTTCAACGATGGTCGGCCGACCAGCATTGGAAAAATACAATTTTTCTTGAAAATGTCAGCACACAATGAGGCACAATTTTACAGTTTGCTTTAAACGGTCATTCACTAACAGTCCAGTAAGATATTTTGTTATAATTTGATCATTTCGTTTCTTGATGTTTGCAAATGTTGTATCTTCCCTTTAACATGATGTACGTAACTTGAAAAGTCGAAGGTGAGGCTTATTCCTCATTACGATATAGCTGGTCACATTTGTTGTCTGTTTATGTAAAATACAATATCGGTTTTGTGCTAAGGAACCCCTTCATTATCAGAATTCCTGCATCAAAACACACATCTTTGTAGATCATCGGGTCTTTATGTAAATGTGCATGTAAAATCATTGGAGACTTAAGTTTCAGTAATGTGGTCATCATTAATGTAACACTTCAAAATTCTATGTCTTTCACTTTTATAAAAAAAAAATCATGAAGAAGGTGCCTTAATTCATGAATTACTTTTCAAGAAAAGTTAGTCATCTGAAATTGGACATTTTAGACCAAAGTTTGTACTTTTATATCGAACAAACTATTGAAAAGAAATGAAATTTTTTTGTGTGTCAAATTCGCCGCTTAAAAACGGTTTTGTACTTTATGTGATAATGCTCTTAGAGAGATTTTTTATTACAACGACAAAACTAGTTAATTAAGAAATTTGTAAATGAAATTATATGTTAAAGTGTTTGTTTGAATGTTCGTGTAAGCTTTTGTTTTACTAAATTATAAAACAACATGAAAGTTTTACATTGTTATCATACAGAGCTGAAACAGCTTATCCTTAAAGGGAATGTACAACATTTGCCTTTGCTGCAATTTTCAGAAATACACAGGTGTGTAATTTTTCAAACGCTGGCCATGATTTTACATACAGGATGCTTTAGACTGTCATTCCCTTGCAATCCAGGTATTTCGTGATAATTTGATCTTTTCGTTTTTTGATGTTTGCAAATGTTGTATCGTCCCTTTAACGTACAGGAGTAGGAAGAGTCGCAATACAAATTATATGCAGGCATCCGTGATTTGCTTCGCAAGGCTGAAACAGGTAGCGCCCAGAACTCAATTTCCCCAACTCAGACAAAATCGATTTCAAGATGGCCGAAGTAGGGCTGTTCATAAGCTGATTCCTGGTCACCATAGCGACACGATGGGTGCAATAATTCTCCTGTCGTCTGTTTGTGTGACGTGGCGGACATCTCATTGACGCTTGGGTGACGTCACGAGGATGTTATTGTGAGATATCTTTGCGCACGGCCTTCTTCTGCAAAGAAAGTGTTCAAAAAAGGAGTAATATGACAGTGAATGACCATGGGCCTATCTGCCGTTTCCACAAGCCCATAGGCCTATAATTTGAGTTAAATAGGTACTGTCCGTGCTATTTTCGAGTTTCGTCCTGGAAAATATTTTTACAGTGTGTCCTGAAAAATGGGAACCAGGGGTTTCGGGGCGACTTGCTCAATAATCAATCAACATTCTCCCTCAGTGTACACCTTATTTGAATGCTAATTTTGCCCTCTTTCGTTTCATACAAGCCAGTGGCGTAAATCTGTGCCGGCAAGTTGGGGGGGGGGGGGATGGGGGATGACCAAAATCCAATAATTGCCCGGCTGTGGAAATTCGAAGGGGGGGGGGGGGTTGCTCTTCAGGATATAGATGTATATCAATATGTACTCCCGCGCGTACATCAAACGGCACACTTTAAAAGCTTTAGTACTTTGTTCCTCCACTTTTTAGTGCTATTGTGTACATTTTGGTTTTTGGGATGTTAGAAAAATACCTCGAAATCCGCATTTTCTTTCTTATCACGAAAAAGTGTGAGCGCAAATTTGTATCCTTGTGGAGACATTTCCACAATAGGGAACAAAAGATTGTATAGGTCTCCACAGGGCAATTTCTATAGATGAATAGGAATTTCCAAGGTGGGTTGATCTGTCGCAAATGGAAGAGTTTTAGAAAAGGGATATTAAGTCCGAATTTATGTGATTACTCTTTCAATGTATCTGTTTAATTTTTCTTTGTTTTGTTTGTAAAGCGCATTTATCATTAATTTGGAACTGCGCTATAACCACCGGTATTATTATTATTATCATTATTATTTCAGCCAAGGAATTTAATTCTGGTTAAAATAAGAGCATTTTGAAACTTCACTTTCAAACTCGAAAACTTTACTACACGAGAACAAAGAAATGTCTCCACAAGGATACAAATTCGAGAATGTGTGTGTGTGTGTGTCAGTGAGCTTGTCTTACATACGCAGTGTGGACTTCCGAACAAAAGACGTCCACATAATGTAGGTAGCAGCGACGAAGTGTGGACTTGCCCACGTCCACACAGTGTTTCCCCATTTCTGGAAAACAGGTTTAGAGGCATTTTTGGGTTAGGTTTATCTGTAGCAGAATGAAGAGAAACACTAAAGGGAATCATTGAAAAAAAATTGGGTTGTAAGAGTTTTCACAGTTTGAGAAAAATGAGTTTTTCCACTGGTGTTCCTTAACTACACGAAAAGAAAGGAAAGTCCACACTAGGTATGTGAAACAAGTCTGGGTGTGGGTGTGGGTGTGTGGGGGTGGGGGGGGGGGGGGTGGGGGGGGGTGATTCAATAGCCCATCCCCGGTCAAAAGGGGGGATATAACCCCCCCCCCCGGATATACGCCCCTGGTACAAGCAAGGTGATGCTAGGGGCACATTCCCTCTGGTTGAAACTTGAGGATTTTCTTCAAGTAGCTGTTGGACTGCCCTGATGCTGTCCTCTATCTTGGCCGTCGTCGGTCAAGATGTGCAGTCCTGAACGAAGCCATTTTTGGAAGGATCTTTTCGATTCATAACCACTTGGGGCGTGACGATGATGAGAGTTTCTTGGTGTCAAAAGACAGAGTTGAAGCTTATCGTTTATTTGTTGCTATAGAAACTGAGCCCCCAACCCCGTTTTCCTTTTTTTCTGGACACACTGAATAATTCAAAAGGTATGCACTATTGAGGGAGCTATAAGGAACGAAACAAAATTGGCCCACATTTGGTTGTGGAATAATCACTTTACACATTTCAAATTATTTGAAACTCGACAATGATTCAGTTCCCGCATGGTAGACTGGTTCCCGCCCCATATGTGTTGATGATGTAGTGACCAGGAACTAGTCTAATCGCAGGGGCAGGGCAGATCTATTTTGAGCGCAAAAGCAATCCGAAATTAGAGCAGGGTTGCAAACGTCCAAACCAGAAGGAAAATTTGGGTTTTTTTTCCGTTAAAGTAATACAAGTTGAAAATTCATCAGACCCCCCCCCCCCCCGAATCACTGACAGTATATCTTTATTTGACAAGATGGGTGTTCACGTACCAGTTCTCGCTTCAGTCGCTTCAACTCTTCCCTTAAATCGTTGATCTCATCCGTCAACTTCCCACCGGTTTTCACAGACAAGCTCGCCTCTTGCTCGGCCCCCTTGGTGTCCTCTTGCAGCATGAGCAAGTACGTCTTGACCTCGTTGTTTGCCTTCTCCAGTGCGCTGATCTTAGCCACCAAGTCCTCGATGTCTGATGCGGGCTTAGTGCGGTGGTTAGCCGCCGTGTCCACAGGGGCTTCCCCCGCCGTCAGTCCCGCTATCGTCTGGTTCAGATCAGCCAGCGTGGCCACTGCTTTGTTCAGTCTCGACCGGACTAGTTTGGTGTGCCTGCGAGTCACGTGCAGCTCTCCAGCACATCGCAGCGTCTCATTGGCCGTGAAGACCCTCTTGTAGAGGTTGAAGCCCAGACTGAGCAGGGCCAAGGAAGCCAGAAGGAGGGAGGCATTTTTCGCTGACATGTCGGTGCAGAGCGTCAAGATCCGCTGCTTAAAACAACAGTTTTAAAAAAGACAATGTCACTATTGTAGATGGTGTCACAAAATGGCCGTCACAGTATAGCCGAAGTGCTGGACAAAACCTGCACTGCATAAGTTCCTCAAAATTTAATGCCCCTTAAAGTAATATTTTGAAGCTTCTTAGTCCAATTAGCCATCTTCAAAAACAGTGATCTACTAACAAGAAGTGGCTGTTCATTGTTGCCTCGAATTCTAATCGTTTAGACCATCATGAATATCTGAAATACTCATTGAATTTACCAGCGTGGACACGTCATAGCAATAACAGTTTGCGCCACGTGCCCCACCGCAGGTTTTATTCCAGATGTGGCAGACATTTGTCCTAATCAATTAATTAATCAATTAATCTGCTTTTGTTAAGGGTCAAGTTGATACAATGCAAAAAAGAAGAGTTTTTATTTTAGTGCGATCGACCTGGCATTATGTTTCTCGTTTGTGAGTCCAACAAGGGTTTTTCCTATTCGGCTACATTGCTTCTCGAGTCGATCGGGTGTAGTTCCCCTCTCCCCCCTCATGTTATTTTAAGACAATTCACCAAAAGATTCCCAACAGTCAAAACCTCATTGCAATCTGGAAAAATACCACAGAAACCATTATGACAGTGTAAACATGTGAAGACGGCTCAACACATGACATGTCGTCATGACCCGCAAAAAGCGACAATGGGGGGTGGCAAACTTTCATCCCCGACGATATTTCGTTTTACCAGAATTTGAATTACTTTGATTAATTTTCTTAGTTGTTGTTGTCTAATACCGTTGGGCACTATGTATGGAACATTGAGAGATTCCTGCTCCGCAATGTGAAGACCTAAAGTTATTTCTATACATAGTCGTAGGGGGCGCTCTAACCCCACACCATGTCTCACGATAAGCACAACGTTTTTTGTGACCCCTAAAATAAGCAGGCTATCAGAGTTAACTGGAGGTGTATTTTCATCCTGAGATCGCCAAAATTTGGTATTTCATATTGTTTACTACATTTATGGCCCTATTGCATAATGTCCAAGTCACAGAAAATCCACAAATTAGTGTCTTATAATCTTATGGAGGAAACGTTGAACAAAAAACCCGTTTGTTTCGTGGCAGCGATTTTGTCCTTGCGGGCACGTTCTTCCAGTATTTGCATTGTGAACGTAAAATGTCAACGTATAAGACATGCATAACATGATAAACATTTCACTGTTTGATATCAGGTCCTAGTTCAGACTTAACTCATTGCGAACGTTTGAGGTAACAATTTGAAAAGAAATATGTGTGACTGGAATTACGACTTGATTGCTCGATCGGCTCAATTTTTGGCACTAAACAATGTTGTACCCCGTAATTCTTTCGAACAATAACCATACAAAAACAGCAAATTCATAAGGTATATCTTAGTGTGAACGTTTATATTCAGTTAACTATCTTTCCACCATTTCGTGGAAACCCGTTTTCAAGCATAAAAGGCCTCAATCTCTCGAAAGTACCCTTTTAACATTGGAACTCCTCTACTGAACTATACGACCAGTCGTATTTTGATGCATTATGCAAAAATGTTGTGTTCCAAGGTCATAAATCTGGCTGAGATTGTAACCATGGCAACCTTGTTTTCACATTGATATTAAAGATCGATACCTTTTCTTTGTGGCCGTTGAAGCAACCGATCAAAACTGAATAACTGAGACATCTGTCCAACTTCCCCAGCTGTGAAGGGTTCAAAATGGAATGACTGCTGTTTGTTCTGGAAAGGAAATTGCTGTTAGACTCTTTACGGCGGATATGTAGCCTAGGCCTGGGTGAGAAATATAGGAGGGGTAAACGAAATGAGAGGAATCACCTGGAGTTTTGCTAACGCCTACCGCCCTCATGTGTTATTTGATAGGCCTAGAGCCCCAGAGCCAGAGGAAAGATTTTTCCAGTTGATGTCCGACTTATTTAGGCCGCACCAATGTTTATAGCATGTTTACAACACGTGGGCATCAATCATTGATTTGCAAGATCATCTCCAAATGTCTAAAATTCGCAAAATGGATCGGCCTGTCGACACCTGTGTACAGGATAGGAATAGACTATCTGAATAAAACAATTTCGTGCACGAAAAGCTTTTCCTTTTCTGATTTCATTCTCCTTTTCTGATTTCATTCTCTTGTCTTCTTCCTTATTTCACAGAGTTTTAACGAGTCACTGCCAATTGTGTGACTCGAGTCGAGTCGTGTCATTTTAAATAAGTGACTCGAGCTGAGTCGAGCTGAGTCGAGTCGATTCAAATATTTCGCTCGAGTCAACGGATATTTGAACACTATATACCATACAAAATTTATAAAAGGATGCCATAAGTTTAGCCAGCCGAGTCGAGGCGAGTCTTCTGGCAAGGGACTCGACTCGGAGTCGAGTCATTTGCTCGCAGTGACTCAATTGAATTGAGTAATTTATACACTTAGGGACTCGAGTCGAGTCGAGTCACCAGAAATTGTGACTCCAGTCGGACTCTCGAGAGAAATCCGAGATTATGTTGCTTTTGATTACCCCCCCCCCCCAAAAAAAACACATGAATTTTAATAACCCTGGTTCAGAAGCCCACAAACAGTGACAGTGCATGTTCATGCAAAAACAACAAAAACAAACACCACCACACAAATACGAGTACGTGTACAAATAATACACCTGCCAACAACATATATTAACTTTAAGTGCGTGGCGGCTATCGCTGGTACTCGCGTCATCCTTAACCATCTTTCTTTAAAACGTTGGTAACCAGTAATTCGCAACCAGCGTCGACTTCGGACGAACAATCCAGATGACCGTTTTAGCCGATTTTCGGCTAACTTTCACAATTGTTTTTTTGTTAAAAAACGAGTTAAACAAGAACATTTGATAGAATGGATTTTTTTTGGGCATAATTCTGAACAAATGGTTTAATATTTGACAGAAAAAAACATAGCAAATTTGAAAAATTAGTTCATTTTTATGGAAAAAACTTTAATCTTTTCAAGCGAAATTGAACAGAATGACTAGTCTAGGTGCTGGAACTGCAGGATGACTTAGTCGTGACACAACCGCATTTTGCCTGAAATTAACGCAATATCATAACATCTTTATGTAACTATAGATTCTTTATTGAACCTTAAATAAGGCAATGTTACAACATCTGCATGTGATTTTAAGTGTTTGTGTATTTCGAGTAATTCTGGGGAATTTGGCAGATTTTTGATAAATCTGACAGATTTTTGAAGTGCGTTTAGCATAATTTGGTCATGACTTTACGGTCACCCTGCGAACAAGTAATTTGTTGGCCAAAATGCAACGCTCGAAGATGGCATCCAACGGCATGTCAAGAGGAAAAACTCCCCAATTTCTCACTTTCGGACTCTTAGTCGTCATTTGTGTGCTGGCATTCAATTACTGGAATGTTTCGTCAAGGAGTAAACTTCTGCAGAAGCAAGTGCAAGAGATGACGTCTACACTAGAGGAGTTGGCAATGTCCAAAGTAAGCCAATTGCTTTTGCGTGCACAAATTGAATGGGGGAATGGAAAACTACAGTGGGTGGGCCGATTGTGTATCTACGGGCCCGGTTCGTATAACTTTATAAGGGAACAAAATTCACTTTTAAGCTATTTGATCTACCAAACTAATTGACAACATTAACATACAGGTATGTCATAGATAAAAGGGCAGGGTTTTGAATTTTTGAGGGAAATTAGGGGGTAAAATGATGATGACAATGACAAAATGCAACACAAAAATAAAGATGGCGATCACTACTCCTAGAATTATGAGGCTCCACGTAGTGGAGCCTCATAGGTTCAGAACCCCGCAAAATTGTTGTCGGCACAAAACACTAATTAAGTACAAAAACGTCCATCCCAACCAAGCTGTTTCCCACAGAACCGGTGCACAGTTTGCCCCTAAACTCCGTACAATACCTCATGACATACTCACGTTACGTGCACCCAACAAACATCGGTGGATTCTGTCGGTTTTTCGGCAAAATGATGAAAAATATGCCTTTTCCGCACTGAGCCAACCTGACACTTGAAATTTGCACGAGCGCAGAATGATCGCAGTCATTTTCGGGTTCGATAGCTCGGAGCGCGCCACGGGGGGTACGTACTGGCACTTGTACGCATGCGCATACTATCGTTCCGCTCCTACACCATACCCCCCGCGGCGCGCTCCGAGCTATCGGACCGAAAATGACTGCGATCATTCTGCGCGCGTGCAAATTTCAAGTGTCAGGTTGGCTCAGTGCGGAAGGGGCATATTTTCCATCATTTTTGCAAAAAACCCGACAGAATCCACCGATGTTTGTTGGGTGCACATAGCGTGAGTATGTCATGAGGTATTGTACGGAGTTTAGGGGCAAACTGTGCAGCGGTTCTGTGGGAAACGGCTTGGTTGGGATGGACGTTTTTGTACTTAATTAGTGTTTTGTGACGACAACAATTTTGCGGGGTTCTGAACCTATGAGGCTCCACTACGTGGAGCCTCATAGTTCTAGGAGTACGCAAACATGTGAATCAATTTTCGATCCCATGCCCATCTCCCGGTCTCACGTCACAAACTTTTATTTATTTCTGTTTGTTTTATTACACTTCTCCACTGGCTGATATAAAAAAATATTACAAGATATACAGAATCACAGATAAAAAATATAGGGAATTTACAATTTCAATTAATTATTAAAAAAAAGTTTATGCCAGAATACGTACGGATTAAGCCAGTGAGTGGCAAGATGGAACAGGTGACTAGCACCTCTACACAGCCATCCTACCACAGGAAAACCAGATTCTAAATTATATTTTGTTTTCTTTTCTATAAAAAAACCCCCAAAAAACAAAACAAGAGGGGGCGGGGCATATGATAGGTATAAAAAAAAAGCCAGAGGGGAAAACAAAGAGAAGAAGGAAGAATTCAACAAAGGGGGAGGGGTGGTAAGCGACACTAGAACAGAAAAGTGTTAATTTCAAGTGGACAAACAGCATAGATGTAACCCAAACAGTCCCTTCACACGAGTATTATAACTCCATGCTCCTTGGCGAAAATGGAACTGTCCAGAAGACGTTCATGATATGACTATTCATATGGACTGCTGCCACTTGTGTTTAGGCCAAATAAAAAAACAACAACACATGTTTAGCATCCCTGCCCGCTTCCTTTTTGGAAGCCGCCTCAACCCTTGGAACATCCAAATTAGCCCTCAAAATACACTTGTTCACACAAAACTCTTTGTTAAGTTTGTCTTTGTTATGTGTTATTGTTTTGCATTGTTCAGTGCATTGGGACTTGTGCAAAATGCGCTTTAAAAGCACTGTTTATTATTATTATTATAATGATTAAAAAGAAAACAAAAAGGATTGACATCATTTTGGCCTCTTTGTCTGTTGCATCTAGCCCATATAAAGCTGGTATGTCATTTCTTGAGTCCTGAGACAGCTACATGTAGGCCTATTTAAAAAAAAAAACTGGGGCCATCTTGAAAAATAGCCCGGTCGGGCGACCAATTTGGAGAAAAAAAAAACAAAGAAAGGGCCTCCTCCTTCCTTTTTGTCAAAAAGGCAGGACGCTAAACAGGTTGTTTTTTTTATTTGGCCTTATCGTGTCCTTCTTTGTATCGATTTCAACATAGAAACCTTTAATATTGCAGCAACATTTTCGTCATCAAATCTCTCTTAAAGACATGGTCTAGACATTCTATTCCTTGCAGTGTTCAAATGAAAGTTTACTATCTGATGTACAAGGTAAACCAAAAAATGTGGGTTTTTTAATTTTTAAAGTGGCATCAGGATGCTACATTGATACCTTTTTTGTAGAGAGGATTTTTGAGGTAAAATGATGACAATAAAACACAAAAAAATAAAGATGGCATTCATCGCAATGCATCATGAATGCACATAGCCATACATTTTTGAAGAATGCTGCTTGTACATAAATTGTATTGATCAGTAAGAAATTATTAAATGTCTGTTCTTTTACAAGTTACAATATTAAAGGGAATATACATTTGTACATCATTTGCTTTTGCTGTAATTTTCAGAAATGGATGGAATTGGTGGGTTGGAAATATATAGCAAATATAGTTACTGTACATCGACTTTTTGAGGTTTTGGGTTCAAAAATGCTATAAAAACCAAGAAAAACAATCATTTTCCTGTAGTCTGGTTCCCTGACTCCATTTAAGAAGAAAAAGAGCAGTTTACATACATTGGGGAATTGTAAGGTCAGGGAACCAGTCTAGCTGGCTTGTACCCGTTCATAGGTGTGTAATCGATTGCAAACAAGTGCGATGGTCAATTGGGGCCAGTACTTGAAAAAAAGCCAGTTTTTTCCAACGCTGGTCGGCCGATCAGCGTTGGAAATTGATACAAAAATACCACTTTTCTTTAAAAAATGACAGTATACCAGGTGCCATGATTTTACAGGATGCTTTACACTGTCGTTCACTAACAGTCCAGCAAGGTATTTCAAAATGATTTGGTACTGGTGGTTTTATTTTTTGATGTTTGCAAATGTTGTATTTTCCCTTTAAAGTAAACTTGTAGGCTTTGTGTATACGTTGCACTGTGAAGCTATAGGCCTATATGCAACTATTGCTGAGATAGGATTTTTCCTCATTACAAAAAAGATTGGGTGTGGCACATATGCACTTTTACCACAGAGAAAAGAGTAGAGGTTCTTAAATGCCATCCATCCATTGTGTATTTCGCAACATACCGGTACATGTATGCATGAGTGCACGTAAAGCGTAAACTAACAATGTCAATACAGTAACAATGGCAATTTGTGTGCATGCTGTGGCATAATGCCAAAAAAAAAACCCCAAACCCCCCCCCCCCAAGTTCTGCTTCTGATTACATGGCATTCAAAAATAAGGTACATGCAGGTACCATACATGTAGGTAGGGAATTTTTTTGGCAAATTTTTTGTGTATGATCATATGGAGGCATCTGCATGTAGTCCAGGGAAAAAGAATAAAAATTGATGGTTTTGGGTGTTTTTTTTTCTTTTTCCCATAAAAAAAATGTCAGAATAGGGTAGATAGGGAAACCGGAAGCAGAAATATATATTTTTTTGGCCTAAATAGAGCGGTCAAATGGGAAATGTGTATGTGAATGGTCAGAGAGAGTGGAATTTAATGTGTTCTGTTTAACTCAAATTCAACTTAACCTGATTTACAAATTTCACGTAGCTCATTCAACAGCTTTGAAAATGCTTCTGATTTTTCCTTGATCATCATTAATCAGAAAAATTCATCCTGCAAATTTTATCTTTGCGTGTTGTACGTGTTTCACTGTTTACAGAATTCAATAGAGCCAGATGTTATACCATGAACAAATATTGGAGCATAGATATTAAGCCTAAGTGCAAACAAATCTGAGACTGGCATTTTGCTCTGAGATTTACCAGTCACGCTAGTGTACAGATGTTATACATGTACATGTAGTTGGAATTCCTATTTAACATTCTCGAACACCAAAAAACAGTCTCCAGGTGTATAGCAAATTATCAGTTAAATCTTCCAGTCTACATGTACAGATTTTGTCGCTCAACAAATATGACTAGATCGGCAGTATGTTTTATAAAATGCAAACTCTCAAAATAAGTAACAAAGCACATTTTCAGTTTCTTTTTCAAAAGTGGTTATTTGAAAAAAAAGTATAAGCCATGTAACGTACTGGAACATTCACTTTCATTGTTATGGTTGGTAGGGGAAAAACACATCACTAAAAATAAGGCCAAAAAAAAAAATAGTCGGTCTCTGGTCAGACCGAAGTTCCGGAATTGATGCGGCGACGCGTTTTTGTTTTGTTTTTTGGTGGCTTTTTTTTTTTTCAAGCTTGTATTGTACAGACAAGGTGGGTACTATTTTGCTTTTTTGTGTCCTCATTATACATTGGTGTCCTCCGTAATTTGCCTTGGTGCCCTTTATCATTTGCCTTGGAGCAATTTCCCCATTCCTTGGTGCTCCTTGGTACAAAAATTTGAGGAGGCTGTTGTAGCTTCCGTGTTAATTTGAAAGAAAAAAAAAGGTTGACGCACATGATTAAAATCGACACGCGCGCTGACCAGAGACCGATTTTTTTAAATTTTTGGCCTTAGTAAAAAAAAGAGTGGTTATCCAATGGAGTACCTGATGTACATGAACTTGTAAACAATACAAGCTCAATCTCAGAAGTTGCGGGCCAACAAATTCGTGTTCATGCATGAGTCACGTGACGTGATTGTGCCATGTAATTTCTGGTAGGAGTAGTGTTTTGAGTAAAAACTTATTGACCCCAGTGACTCCATGATGACCTTTGACCCCATTTTGGTCATGTGACATGTTGGGGCTGGGCTACTGATATTGAGTACTTTTATTAAAGTTTGGTTGAAATCAGTCAAAATATATACCATTTACATGTAGACAATATCAACGTTTGTTACTAACTACATACGTGTACATGTGTTAACTAACGGACTAACGGTGAGACGTGATGATGTGTTGAGCTGCTATCCCGTGGCTAAAAATGAAAAGTTCCAGTGCATAAGTAGTCTCTGTTGTGCCCACATGTATGTGGCTTTTACAATGAATAATCCATTCAGACATTGCTAACATACAGCATTGTAGAGTATGAATACTATGATACAACACCACCACCATGACCACTGTCACCGCCACTATCAACACCATCACTGCCGCCATAAGAAGCAGGGGGGGGGGAATTATTATGAAATATAATCTGACACACACAATACAAATTGCAAATAGGGTACCAGGGTTTTACAAAATCAGGGAGATTTTTTATATATTTTTAGGAATTCTCATACATGTATTAGAACAGTGTCATTCGTTTTCCTAAATTTTGGGTTTTTTTTTTTGGGGGGGGGTGTCTTTGAAATAATATAAGGCTTACCATCCTAGGCCTGAAAGTACATGTAACTGATTATTTTTGTTACTGGTACCAATGAATGGTTTCCTTTTTGTTGTTAATGTTTTGATTACTCAAATGGCTGATTGGTTTTTTACAAATGCAGAGGCCAGTTTTTTTTTATTACTTGGATTATGGATTGTCCAGGTCCAGAGGTCAGATGGGTAGCAGGGAAAAATACATTTCCAACGATGAGGGTCTCACATGTTGAAAATAATGGTGCACCCTGTATGCGGGCAGCGATTTTTAATTATTCAAGCTGAAAAAATGGAACTGAATAGCAATACAACAAATAACTGAATGTTTGTTGCAGGCCTGAGGCCTTGCCATTTTCCAATTTCCTACCTTTTCACCTAAAACCGCATTCATTGTCCCAATTGGTGTTATTTTGTCGTTTATCTGCCTTTACAGATACACTTAGAGAAGCGCAGTGAGGCCTTACAGATGCAAATCACGGAATCCAACCGGCTCATCAACAGCTTCCGACAAGAGAAGGATGCCCTGGGCATGCAGAGGCAGCAATGCCTGCTGGAGCTCGACAGCAAACGCACCCAGAACCAGCAGCTCACCACCAACCTCAATGTCTGCCAAGAACACAAGACTGACCTGGAGGGCCAATTTGTGAGGACAAGTTTTGTTCTAGTAACCTTCCAGAAATCTGAATTCTCCTTGGTACTGGTACTTTAATCCTAGCCCCATAGGCCCGTTTGGGTAGGAAGCGTCTTCAGTCCTGCAAAAGCCTCCAATTGTCGCCATAGTATGTAAAAAATGGATTCAGCTTCCATCCTCCAAAATTAAGCGTTATTTCTGGAATTTGTTCAGTGGAGAGGTGACCATTGCCTCAATCCTTCAAAATCCTCCACCAATCACTGTTGATGGGTTGAGGCAGTGCTGATGACATTCCCGTACATTCCCATATTTGCTCACAAATCTAACGACCGGTTATGTTTGGTTTTAATTGTTACAATATTTAACCCTAACTCCCTCGGCACTTTTGCTAGGATGCAACCTCAATCCTGCAAAATCCTCCAACTGCCTCCATGTAAAAATTGCATACTGCCTCAATCCTGCAAAATCCTCCAGCAATCACTGTCAATATGTTGAGGCAGAGCCAGTGACATCCTGCAGCAGCGCAGAGGATTTTAAGTAGTCTAGGCCTAAATTTATGCACGGCTGAGCATATGGAACAACAGAACGTCCGTCCCATGACTTTGACACCGTGCATCCTCCAAAATCAGCCACACATTTGCCATACATGTATAGCCTCAATCCTGTAAAATCCTCAATTTTGCAAAAAACATTTTGGAGGATTTGGGCAGGTTGGGTTTAAGTTCAGCTAAAAACAACCAAGTGTTCTGATGTTCCATTTCATTCAAATATGTACAATTGCTGTTGTGTGCCTTTGAACTAGTGCTGGATAGATTCAGGAAGAATCATATCATAGCCTTTTCATATTTTACACACATGTTCATGTAGGTGTAATTCTTATTTTTTCTGTTTGTTTTCACACAGCAAATAAAACAGGGCAACTTATCTGTCACAGCACAACTATTACAAGAATGTAAAGGTAAGACAAAAATATACTGAATCTTTGGTGCACAAATTATTTGGTTAGATACACCAATTACAATATGTATGACGAAACCTTGGGCGGTTGCTAGCGACAACTCTGTGCACGAAAGGGTTTAAGGCTCAGATACTCTACTGTTCTTGTATTGCAAACTAATTGGCGCTGTCTTTTTCTTTGAGAGCTCACAAGGAGACTATTTCACATCCTGAGCACGTAACTTTGAGAAGATAAAAAAAAATGGGAATACAATTTTACAATACAAAATGTTTGGGCTAAAAATATAATTTTGAATACACTGTATATTGTTTGGACAATAAGACCAAACAAAAAAATGTCTTTGGTTCAGGTCACCCGACCGATCCTATTTTTGAAAGTGGTAAAATGCGACCTCACACAATTTTATTGGTTATTTGGGGAAAAAAATATTACGATACCGACTTACGATCAGAATCGGTCAAAATGGCCGACAGCCAGAACCATTTTAGGCATTTATTAGCAAGTGTTTTTTTTTAGGCATTATCCGAAAGAAATCGTTGTCTAACATCAGTTTGCATTTACTTTTAAAATACATACGTTGTACCTAGACCACTTGGGTCCTTCGTCACGTAATCGTCATTGCAACGCAGTCCAAAAAGTATGGTTCGTGTGTCTCATGTTCCTCTGTACGTACACACGTGTGTGCAAAAAGCGCGGTATTGCGTGCCAGGGGAAATCCCCATGGCAATGTCTGTGCCCAACAAGTAATTCTATTGGTTGACCGTGAGTTACACGGCCGCACAGACTTTCGAGCCTAGGGACACCATGAAATGAAATGTTTGCTTGAAATTGTGGGAGAAATCGTGGAAGCAAAGTGTCCTAATGATTTTTTTTAAAACTAAACGCTTTAAGGTTGCTCAAAGCAAGTCTTAGTTGACATCGCGTTAGGAAAATTTGTTATGCGATATTCTACCAATGATCGGATCGGACGGCCACTAGTCTTTTGTGGCTTTCGTTCGGGTCTCGTGCACGTGCACACAAGACTGCAATTTGCTCTAGATATCGGAGAATGTGAACATTTTCCAAAAACAAAAAGGAAATGTCTTCCAGTGAAATCTCAAAATGACATTCAGGGAATTCTTTGTGAAAAACCATGGGGAAGTTGACGATTTTTCACTTGATATCGCCGCAAGAGGCCAACTGATGAACCACGGAGAAGCGTTAGAACATTGACACGACAAAGGCTGAACCATGTTCCTTGCTCTATGGTTGAACTTACGAACTTCTTACGCTAAAACATGTCTCAGAAATCGTCCCAAAACACTTTGATTGAGGAACAGCAATGCTTATTAAAAATGTTGAGTTAATATATTCGTTGTTTGCGTTTAAAAACTTTGAAACTCAATTGCGACTTTGTGCCTCAACTATGCACTCGGATCGTATGAGGGGCGAGTTTTGCTGTGTCTAATCTGACGACGGTTACCTAGGGGTTTTTCCAAAAGTCGGCTTTGTCTCCATTTCGGGCATTGCCTGATGTTTGGGTCCCAAACTTTGGAGATTCCAGCTCAACATCAGTCAATGTTTTGCTATCCAAGCGAGCAATTATTTTTGTTTTATTTTATTTGGTCGGAACATTCAAGGCCTTAACCCTAACTCCCTAGGCCTTTTTGCTAGGATGTAGCCTCAATCCTGCAAAATCCTCCAATTGGCCTCATGGAAAAATAGCATATAGCCTCAATCCTGCAAATTCCTCCGTGGTTTCTTGAATATGGTCCATGGAGGGGTGACCACTGCCTGAATCCTGCAAAATCCTCCGGCTATGACTGTCAATAGGCTGAGGCAGAGGCAGTGACATCCTGGAGCAGTGCGGAGGATGTCAAGTATAATCAAGGACTAAATTTATGCACGGCTGAGCATAAACAACACAAGGTCCGGCCCAAGACCTTGACACAGTGCGTACTCCGAAATCAGCAACGCACTTTGGCCATGTAACCTCAATCCTGCAAATTCCTCCAATTTGCAAAAAGGATTTTGGAGGATTCAGGGCGGTTAGGGTTAATGATGAAGCCCAAACGGAAAGGAAGCTGAGCTTTGAGAAAGGGCCATAATATTTATTTGTAGCCGTGGCGGCTACATGTACCTAACCTAAGATTTTGTCAGAATGGTCAGACTCTTTTGGTCTGGGAGACACATTGCTTGTGATTGGCTCTGAGCTGATGCTTACTGCATGCATAAATTGGTTGAGGAATACTTCAGTATTTAGCAGTGTTGCGTAATTTTTCTTTCATCAGTGGAACTACCACTCCATATTTACAGTTTTGTTTTGGTCAATTTCAGCTAAGTACGACAAATTAATTGAAGAGGATGACTTAATTACAGCCAAACGTCAAGAAGAGATGAACAATCTTCGCTCGCAGCAAGGGCTCCTTGAGAGCAACAACCGCCAGTGTTTAGAAGACAAGGAGGTCCTGAACGACAGGCTGAACTCCATAAAAGCACAGGTCAGTCACAGAGTACTCATGTCATCTGGCTCCTACATGTAACGGTGACTCATTACTGCAGAATGAGGATTCAGTCACAAATTTCAGTTTGGAGTTGTTCTCAGTTTTAAAGGTGCAACAGTGAAAAAAAGTCCCATAGACACTAGTGCTAAATGCCCATACTTCAAAATTCTTTTTAAAATACTTAAAACTCTCACAGGTATTAAAGCTGCACAGAAAAATGATGATCAACATGTCATCTTTCAATTTCTTTTCATTTTTTGGTGGGTTGACCATTGACTTTTTGAGAAATTCGCGCCCAAAGAAGACAACCCCTTTTTTCCCCCAAAGCAGAATGGTAGCCATCTTGAAAAACAATGCCTCCACAACATGGCAAAAAAGCACCACTTTTGAGCCCAATTGTATCCGAAATGCTCCGAATTGGAAGCCCCAAGTCCGGGCCAGAGGTTTATTGCCATATCTCTTCAATTCCCCAATGTTATGGGGAACAGAGAGAACTCTCTAATATAAAATATATTTTGAGGGTATAACTTTTATTCATGAGTTCGGCGGATGGGTTTAGGCCTAGTTACAGGTGTGCACCCTTAAAGACTGAAATTGATAAAATGTCTACACAGGGTGGTAAAAAAAACTGGAAGGGCATACTTCCACTACCTTGAGACTCAAACCACTTGTACCAATGGATGGAGAATCCTTTTAGAAGAATTGTGATACCAAAATATCCCGATTCAGTCCAGTAGTATTCATTGGTATTTGCAGCAGAGCCTATTTTGTGAAGCATACTTCTTTCATGTGGGTAGTATTACATTTATAACAATCCATCTATCAATTACAATGTAAGTTGAATTCCTGTCCGCGGTTTAGTAATTCATCGGGACAGCAATGACCCCCACCTTGCTTCACAAAATAGGCTCTTGAACAACAACTATTATAATAATATAATAATTCGGGAGGCTAATCATACTTACTGGCGGCTGGGATACTGAATTGCGAAGAAGCGGCTACAACATGGTCGGGCTGCTGGCACGTAAAGGCGCCTATGGCTGCCGGCCACACCGACCCATATATGACCACGGAGCACAGCCTGAGATCGAAAGTGTTTGATTTTTCTCGAGGGAGGAAAACCGGAGGGCCCAGAGAAAACCCTCATGGCACAGGAGAGAACCAACACACAACTCTACTCAAATAGGCCAGAATCCGCGGCCAGGATTCAAACCGTGGTCACCTTGGTGAGAGGCGAGCGCTTTACGCACAAGCCACCCATGCCACCCGACTGAATGGGGACTGAATCGGGCGATCTTGGTTTCATTTCTCTTCCAAAAAGATTCTTCATGCATTGGTATATGTGGTTGGAGTCTCAGGCTAGTGGAAGTATGCCATTCATTTTTTTGTGGGGACCTCTCTGTATGCAGGTAGTGTCATAGTGTATGAGAGAGAAAGGTTTGGTACTATTTTGTTCCCTGACATGCCTGACATTGAGAGTTCAGGTTTTTCCCACTTTACTTTCACTTTGCCAAAGCAGGTCACATGTAAACATTTTACATAGTCTAGGGGCTAGCCGTTGTTAAAGGTTTGATTTGTTAAAGGGAATATACAACATTTGCAAACATCGAAAAATAGAACTACAAAGTTTTTACGAAATAGCTTACTAGGATGTTGGTAAATGACAGTCGAAAGCATCCTGTAAAATTATGGCACCTGGTGTGAAGTCATTTTCAAGAAAATGGTATTTTTGTATAAATTTCCAACGGTGGTCGGCCGACCACCGTTGGAAAAACCTAACTATTTTTCAACTTCTCCTCCAAATTCACCATTTTTTTCAGTCCAAATTTTATTTGCTATTGGTTACATGTTTATGAACGGGTGCAGGCCAGGTGGACTGGTTCCCTTACCTTACAATTTTCCGGCATCTATAAATTGATCAATTTTATCTTTAGTGGAGTCAGGGAACCAGACTACTCCACCATTTGTGTTTTTCTTGGTTTTTCCAGCATTTTCGAACACAAAACTTCAAACATGTCAGTGTAACAATATTTGATCTATTATAGTAACCCCTCAAATAGTTCATTTCTGAAAAATTACAGCAAAGGCCAATGATGTACATTCCCTTTAATGGTTTGATACGCGATAACCCGCGACCGCAATAACCTGCCGCCGCCAGAGGGCGCTATCATGACCAACTAATATCGCCCATGGACTTGTTAGAACAACGTCTAGGGAAATTCGTGTTGGTTGTGTAATACGCTCGCACTGTTTGGCCTAATATATGCAGCGCGCAATTCAAAGAAAGGATAGTAGTTCCGACGCAAACTCTCAAATGCAATAAAAGATGCAGCAAGACATTTGTGCAGCTTCACTGGTCAGCTCTTTTGTTATGTGTAGTATGCGTAGGACTGAAGATGGACCGTAGTTGCGTGCAGAAGTCGCGCATGCGCACTAGTTTCCCCCATTTTTCGGGGGGAGATTTCAGCAGTTTCCCTAGACGTTGTTCTGACAAGTCTGTGGGTGATATTGGTTGGTCGTGATAGGGCCCTCTCGCGGTGGCGGGTTATGCGTATCAAACCATTAACAACATCTAGCCCCTAGACTACATTTTACACTGAGACTGTAACTATGCTTATTATTGTATACTTTCTTATTACTGTGTACTTCAAAGCCTGTGACTAATTTCAGACTCTTTCAATTTACTAAAGCACTGGCTTGTTTGTGTTGCAGGTCCAAACAAGGCAAATTGAGGCCCAAAAATGTCAGGAATCCTTGAATACATGCCAGAACAATGTCCAGAACTTGCAGCAGCAGCTACGAATGACAATGCAACAGCAACAACAGCAACAACAGCAGCATGAACAGCTGCCAGACACTAATCAACAGCAGCAATATCAACCACAACAGCAATATCAGCCGCAGCAGCAACAGCAGCAGCAACAGTACGAACAGCAACAGGACCAGCAGCAACAGCAACAACCTGGTACTGGACAGGTAGGAGTGACTTCAAAAATGGATGATACATGATGAATATATTCTCAGAGTCCTCAAGATTTGATCGTCTCACACAATCCACAAAAATCCCCCAGAAATGCAGTTCGATGTTCAACAAATACAGTGGAACGTCGCTATAACGAACATTGTGGGATCCATAGAAATTGTTCGTAATAGCAATCGTTCGGTATAGCAATTTTAAGCCGATACTTACCAGCAAGTGGTTTTTCACACACAAGTGGTGCCCTCTTCTGACCATTGTTCATTTCCAAACCCCGCGCTGGTTTCCAAACCACGCGCTGATTTGCCAAACTTGTCCATTCATCTTTTCAATTCCGTAAGCAGAACTTCACCCTGTATGCCTTGGTAGTTACTGAAAGATGACTTTGAACACATGCGACTATTGAATCATGTAATAATAAAGATTTTCAGATTACACGGTTGGCTTTTCCCTTCTATATCTTGGGGAAGTAGTATCTATTTCTTGCTCTTCTGTTGACATTTTTCAACAACAGTGTTCGGTACGTTTTATGCATTAAAATCGGGAGCCAAGGATGATGTTCGGTATAGCCGAATGTTTGGTATAGCCGTGTTCAGTATATAGCGACGTTCCACTGTACATGTACCAAATGGAAACTTTATTGTTCACCTTCCAACCCACATGTCTGTGTTTAACTCATTTCATGCCTTGGGTCAACGTGAACACAGTAACATTCAAGTTTAGAAAGAGTAGACAAATACATTAAAAAATCCAAGAAAACAAGAACTTATCCTGGTTGGAATTAAGTACAAGGGAGCAAAATGGTGCAAGTCAAATATGGTACCTCATAATTGTGAATTTCCATAAGCTCAACAAAGTTTTATTTTCTCGACTGAAGTAGTCCTCTTTTGACTTTACCAAGACAAATGTACACCCTTAACATAACTTCTCAATTTTGAAGTGATGATTATGCTGCTGCGACTGGTTTTTTAGGAACAGCAGAATCAGGTAAGCATGAACCTAGATTTACAGCAGCGGCATCAGCAACATCTTCAAGAGTTTAAAGACAGACAGCAGCAACTGCAGCAACTAGTGCACATACACCCTGGCAAACAAGACATGCAAGAAGAGCAGCAGCAGACAGATCAGCAACAGCATCAAGAATATCCGGGACAGCAGGGTCAGCAGCAGGTTAGATATCAACAGTACCCGCAGCAGCAAGTGGAGCAAGATCAACAACAGCAACAGCAACAGCATCAAGAATATCAGCAGCAGCAAGGGCAGCAGCAGGTTGAATATCAACAACACCCACAACAGCAAGTGGAACAAGATCAACAACAGCAACAGCAGACAGATCAGCAGCAGCAACAAGAATACCAGCAGCAGCAGACTGCAGACAAGCTGCAGCAACTTGAACAAGAGCAACAGCATGTCGGCCAGCAACAGCAGTTAGACACATCAAAGGTGGCAAGTTAAACAAATATCCTTGACCATAAAACATGGTGCATCACATCATCGGATCATCCCACAGGAGAATCACGAATGTCAGCACTCATTACCATGCACTTTTTTAATGCCTCCTATCAAAATCAACTCATCATGCACAAGTGGAAATATTTTTAAAGCTAATTTTTTTTCTTCCAAACTCATCCTTCACCATTGCGTCCACCTGTCAAAGTTTAATATTTTGGTCAAAAATGGTTTTATTAATACTTAAAAATAAGTTGAAGTGCAAATGTAAAAGAGACTTTGTAAGCGAAGTCACGCAGCTTTCATTGAAAGTACACCCATAACGCTGCGACAATGCCAGATGTGAGCTTGAACTTTCATATAGGAGTCTTGCACAATGGACCACACAGACTTGGCCGGCAACAAACATGAACAGAAAAATGGATCCTCATTGCTGTCGTCATCATGGCTGAACATTGTCTTTTGGATGGTATGAGCCCATGCCTTCGTGGAACAGGACACGTCAATGCTGTGCTTTTTCCGTCATCCGCTGAAAACATTGCCCAGCTGCTGTACCATTCAGATTGCATCGTTGTTGCTGAGAGCCAGCTGTTGGAGATGCCCGCCCGTGGACCTTGCTGATCAATATCGTCATTTTTCAACGGGATAAAAATTAACCACGCTCTACTTCTCTGCATTTGCATCAACCCAACCAATAAAAAAAAATCACTTTTGTTTGTGTAATTTTGTTTTCCAGTTTGCGTAAACAAGAGCACAATGGACTACATGTACTGCTACGGCTTGTAGGATTCAAAGCTGAATTTTCATTTTTTGAACCCTTTTTATCTCAATTTCCTTTAATTTCAATATTCAATATTGATTGTCTATATTCTTTCACATTTAATGTTGCTCAAGGCATCACATGTTGCTCTGCTCATTTTCAAAAAACTGTGATTTTTTTTTTTTACATTTTGATGTGTAAAACTTTTTGTAGAAATTGTTTATAACATTTGCTTGGTTTAAAAATCAAAATAGTTTATGAAAAAAGAAATGTCCATTTCAAAAGCATTTAGTTCCACATTAGCTACGCAGGTGTAATTGCAGACATTGACATTTGTGATGCGATCAAGCCAAGTTTTTGGTGTCAAAAGATGCGCAAGGCTCGAGGCTAAAAAGTCACAAAAGCTCGGGTCGCGAACATTTTTTTTTTAAAGGCTATCGCGGAAAAAGTCGAGGGGGGCCGGATTCCGCCCCCCCCCCCGGCCCCTTTAGGGTTAAGTAAGAGACTTCCAAATACATGTAGTACTCAAACTTACATAAGATTTATGTTTTGTGCAAACACGATTGTTGGCATTTTCAATGTCACTGCCCAAAGTTTGCATTGGACCAATGCATACCTAGGGAGATGTGTAAAAATCTGAGTTTTAATTATCAGTCCTGCCCTCTCTCCATTCGTTTCTGTATTCTAAAGATTTGTGCCTTATTTCTTTCTCAAGAGGTTTGCCAAACCCTAACCATACCCCTTGAATTTGTTTTTGAGGATGAACCAAAAACAGAAGCATTGTGAGGTACCGGTATTTATTCACTAATTGTTAATTTGTAGGTTGTCGAGACTGGGCAAGAAGGTGCAAATCAGAAATCTCAACGAAGTCAGCAACAATCTCATTCTCGTGAAAGGGAACACGACCAACTGGTAAACAGACAGAATAAAATGGAACATACAGACCAGCGGCAAAAAGAACCTCAGCAGCAGCAGCAGCAGCAGCAGCAGCAGCTCACAAATAAGCAACAGTTGGAAGAAATAAACCAGCATGGAGAACAAGAGCAACACCACAACAAACAGAAGGTTACATTGGCGCCACATCAACAAGACGGACAGCAGGATCTACATCAGCAAGAATATGAGCAACAGCAAAAACCGATGAAACAGGAAGGGCAGCAGCAGGGAGGCAATGGACAAGAAGAGCAACAGCAAGAACATCAGCAGCAGGAAGAGCTGCTAAGCAAAGAGAAACAGCAGCAAGAACAGCACACGGCGCAGCAAGAACAGAAAGAGCAGCAGCAAGATAAACAACAGCAAGAACATAAACAGCAAGAACAGCTCACCACAGAGCAACCTCAGCAGGAAGACAAAGAACAGCAGCAGGACGAGGAACAGCAAGAACCGCACAGCATTGAGGCGCAACAGGCAGGGCCAACGCTGCAGGAAAGTAAACAGGAGCAAGAACAGCAACAGCGGGAAGGGCAGCAGCAGCAAGATAAACTGCAGCAAGAACAGCAACAGCAAGAGCAACTCAGCACTGTGCAGAACCAGAAGCAAGACAAAGAACAGCAGCAAGATGAGGAACAGCAAAAAGAACACAGCATTGAGGAACAGCAAGAGGAAGGGCAGCAGCAAGAAAAGCTTCACAGCTCAGAGCAAAAGCACGAAGACCAGCAGCAGCAAGGCAATGAGCAACAACAGCAACAAGAACAACCTCAGTCACAGGACGGTCAAGGACAGCAGCAACAGCCATCCGAAGGCAAGGATCAACAACAAACTCCTAAGCCGCAGCAGCAGCAGCAGCAATCCCATCACCACGAGAACGACCCAGGCCAACCTCAGAAGGGTGGAAATGTGGCAAGTTTGACCTTATTGCCTTCAGCTCGCATTTGTCATATTTGCAGTCTTTGTATCATTCCACAGGATGGGATATTCACCATATCATGAGCTTTTTGTGCCTACTTAAACCATGCATCACTGCACCCATGGGTTATTTCACTGGTACATGTAACAGGTGCACAGCTTAATAACCAGATGCAGTGAGCAAATATGGACTTGGGGCTTATGGGCTCCGTGCTCCAACAGAGAGGGCGTATTTTTGCCACTTTTGAGAGCCCGTTGGTCGGGACACACCGTGTGCGCGTACTGGTTTGCGCGCGTATAGCACGACGTACGCACAACTAATTTTATCCTGAATGTGCACAAAGCCATAATGCCTTCATGTGAGCATTGTCTGCGATGCGTTTGAATGTCTCACCTGATGGTCTCCCCCAACTCTCCGTTTCTTGCCGGTGAGGGGGTACTTGTGCACGGAGCCCATATCTCTTTGTCGTGGGCATTGTTTAGTGCTGCTTTAGCTTCTGACTTTTGCTGGGCTTCTGGACTTCTTTCTATAGACTCTGTGCATGATGGCGTTCCGTGGCCTACCCACAGAGGCCGATGAAGGATTCAAGTGCGTGCATGCGCTACAATGTAGTTCATGCATGCAAATTGCCCCAAGCGCGCACAGCCAATTTTTCATCTGAACGTTCAGAAATCCGTAACATCTTTATGAGAGCATTTGCCATGTGGGGAAACGTTGGTCGAAAAAGTCACTTAACTGTTCCATCATCATGTATTTTTTACATTTTCACCGCAAAGGGCAGTTGAGATATGCACAGAGTCTATAGGCAGCATTGGAGTGGTGGGATCATGAATTTGGACACACTTTACTCATAACTGTTTTTTTTCTCCACTCACATTGTGTACATGTAGCCGTTGCATGTAATATGGCAATTTCTGACTTGGTGAGCAATATGCAGCAGTTTGGTATTGGTGGTGCGGGCAATTAACACATAACTGATAACACAGCGCAGTGGCAATGCTCTTCATATAGAATTTCACAAGTTCTACAGCCATGCTATAAAACACATTAAGTATAAAGTATGTATTTACCGTACATCCTAAGTGTACAATGTATGTGCACGGTAAAAAAAAAGGCACTAAATTGCCCAAACTTGATAATTTTGCATTTTCACCAAAGGAGGCCAAGAAAAGTGCATAGAACTTCATATTGGTGTTTTCTTTGAACATTGTCCGTTTTTTTTAAATAATTTTGTTTGTGATTATTCACAACTGCATTTGACCAAATATTCCATGATTCAAAACTTGCCAATCCAGTTTTACACGTGCCAGCTGCAACTGCGTGTTGCGCCAGTCAAAAATTCACGCAAAGCACCGGTAAAAATTTGCATGTGGTGATCAAGATTATTTTTTGCAGTATTTTATAACTGTCAAGAGCTTAACCTGGTAAAAGAATGGTTACCATGAACCACCGTCGACAAAAGAAGTTACCGTCGACAAAAAAAGTTACCATCAACAAAAAAGTGGCATCTGACAATAAAGCGCCTCAACTTTACAATTAAAATAACATCACAGTTGTGTGTACACGTACATATGCATTTTTTTTTAATATTCGAACCGGCAAAAAGCTATTCGAATATTTAGTTGATGATCGAATATTCAAATATTTAGGACAGTCCTGCTTTGCTCTTGGAATGCTAGATTTGCCTCGGTTTCACATTTTTTTCCTGTCCCTGTTACATCTGGCATCTATAAATTTATCTTTTTGATGCACTCTTTAAAGCCCGAGTCCATCATTTGCAGCTATCCAAAAAGTAACTGGCGTAATTATTGTTGAAAAACATACTTGGTTGAAAGATAGTAAGGGGACTAAACTCCCTGTGAAATTATTCTTTCTAGCAATCTGTCTTTTTGAAGAAATCAACGAAAGAAGGCCTTTCCAACGGTGCGTCTTAAGAAGCACCGTTGGAAATTGGCACGATGCACACGCGCGCGCAGTTGCTACAATTCGTCATATCGATGCGCGACATCGCGTAGCTGCAATCGGCTAGTGAGAACGTGTCTCGGACGCTGAATTCAGGCCCAATTCAAAACATGATTCAGCAACTTTTGATTTGAAATCGAGATCTTAGAATGTTGTTTTTCTCGAAATATACATGTACAGCTGAAGCTGAGCTGAAACTTCATCAGGTTAGTTGTTCAGCACCCTGCTTCAGATTTTGAGCACTTTTGTTGCTTCAAACGAACAAAATGCACAAATTACAAATGATGGACTATACCTTTAATGCAGCAGACTTCCAAGAGAGATCGTGAATAGCAAACTACCAACCCAACAAATAAAAAAAATCATATCATCATGGCAAATAACAAAGTATCAAGGTATCAGAGACAGGAAAATGTCATCAGTATGAGTAACAGTTGTGTGCTGAAATGCTTCTAGGAAGTAGGGTTTCAACTGCAGCCAATGTGATGATAAGATGCACTGGCCATTTATCATTCATCATTCATTAGATCAAATGAAACCCAGGTTCGAATTCGGGCGATTCACAATGCAGTGACCAAGAGTTTGCCATGGAGAGTCCATTTTTTAAGTTTACGGTTGACAAAATGCTGTCCATTTGTTTGAATGAGTGTCAGTAGACAACTTGAGCTAAGTTTGTTATAGATTGGGACATAGCGTTCTGCCGCCTTATCAAAAACACCATATTGATTAAAAGAAAAAAAGGGTGAACATATACATGTATTCGAATCATACTCTTACGAAACTACTGACCGGAAAAAACTAACAATTTCAAATGTCCCGCGCCGCGAATTTGTCGACCATCTCCCACAATGCACTGGGAAAAATTAACTCTCCGTGGCCAACTCTTGGTGGCGCACTGAATTGTGAATTGACTGATGATGACAAATAACTGCATCTCAAAGCCATAGGTTTACGTTTCATTTCAACAATTCCGATACTTGATCCATTCAGGATGTCCAGAACCAGCAGGCATACAACCAGTATTTGCAGCAGCAGCAGCAGCAGCAAGAGCAGCAACCACAGCAAGAGCAGCAACCACAGCAGCCCGGGGCACAGGATGCAGAAGCCCAGCAGCGGTACATTCTTGAACAGCAAGAACTGCTGCAGAAAGAGCAGCATCGGCAGCAGCTTGAGCAGCTGCAGCAGCATCAGGACCTGCAGAATCTGGATGGACAGCAGGAGCCTGATAACAACGAGAGAGGGTAAAATGCTGCCAGTCAAATATTGTCCTAGCCCAAGGGCAATGAAAAGGAAAATTTGCAAACATAATATAATACTAATAACAACTCATTCTTATGTAGCGCATTTCAGGACTGTCGGAGCTCACAAAATGCTTTACAATTCATAAGCAAATCTATATGACTAAGGAAAACAATTGTCAAAACAATGTGTTTTAAGGCTGGTCTTAAACAATTGTAGGTCAGTTATTGATCGCAGTGACAGTGGGAGAGAATTCCAAAGTCTAGGGCCCCCACATGCAAATGCTCTTTCACCATAGTTCGTCATTTTTCTGGGGTTCATGGTGAGAAGATGCTGGGAAGGTGATCTAAGGGGCCTTGGTGGATTGTATGGTACAAGTAGTTCTGAGATGTAGGCTGGACATAGACCATGGATAGCTTTGAAGATGATGAGAATGACCTTATAATGGATGCGAGACTATACTGGCAACCAGTGCAGATTTGTCAGCATAGGTGTTATATGTTCACTCAAACATCAACAAACAAAACTACCAAATTATCTCCTGAAGACGGTCAGAGCATACTGACCGGAACGTCGAGTTTATACCTCTGGTTCTTTTCAGAACCATTCTCTTAGTTGAGAAATTATTCGCACATGGTGTTTCCGCAAACCTTTCATTATTCATTATTTACCAAATTATCATGAAATACATGTACCTTACTAGACTGTTAGTGAATGACAGTCTATTAAAAACATCCTGTAAAATCGTGCACCTGGTGTGCTGTCATTTTCAAGAAAAGTGGTATTTTTGTATCAATTTCCAACACTGGCGGACCAGTGTTGGAAAAAGAACTAGCTTTTTTCAAATACTGCCCCCAGTTTACCATATTTAGTCAGTCCACATTTTGTTTGCAATTGATTACACACCTATGAACGGGTACAAGCCAGCTAGACTGGTTCCTGGACCTTATAATTCCCCATTATCTTAAGTGGGCTCAGGGAACCAGACTGCAGGAACATGATTGTTTTCTTGGTTTTTCTAGCATCTATAACACAAACTTCAAACAAGTCAGTGTTACAATATTTTCTTTATAACCCCCCAAATCCATCCATTTCTGAAAATTACAGCAAAAGCAAATGTTATATTTCACCTTTAAGGAAATCTCTGTATTTTATCTGAGCCGTAAAACTAAAAACTGTCAAAATGACTACCAAAAATCCATGATTTTAGCAAAAAAAGCCAGTTTTTTAACCCAAAATCATACTTAACTACATTCAATCTCATTGGCACACCACTCAAATGAAAGATCTTGTAGCCCTTTAAAGGGAATGTACAACATCTGCTTTTGCTTTAATTTTCAGAAATAAATGGATTTGGAGGATTAGTATGTTATAGCAAATATTGTTAAAATGACATGTTTCACGTTTTGGGCTTGGAGATGCTGGAAAAACCAAGAAAACCTATCATGTTCTTGTAGTCTGGTTCCCTGACCCCAATAAGATGAAAAGGAGCACTTAATACACTTTAGGGAATTGTAAGGTCAGAGAATCAGTCTAGCAGGCTTGTACCCCTGCAGAGGTGTGTAATCAATTGCAAAGAAAATTCAGAAAACTAAATATGAAAAATTAAGAACAGTTTTTGAAAAAAAGCCAGTTTTTTCCAACGCTGGTCGGCCGACCAGCGTTGGAAAAATGCAGCTTTTCTTGAAAATGTCCGCACACCAGGAGCCACGATTTTAAAGGATGCTTTAGACTGTCATTCCTCACAATCCAGTAAGGTATTTCGTGATAATTTGATCATTTCGTTTTTTGATGTTTGCAAATGTTGTATTTTCCCTTTAATTTGACACCACATTTGATGTTGTGATGCTTGTAGTTTGGAAGATGTTGTACAGTTTCCACTTTACAGCTGTGTCCACTTTTGCATGGAATTGCCCATTTGCGTTTGCTTTTCTTGCCGAGTTTGAATTGGCCTTAAATACAATTCTGTTGAATAACTTGCTGAATTACTGTAAAAACAGCTTGGGGTGATCATTAAATAAGCGTTTTTGTTTTCTTTTCAAACATATTGGCATGAATTTGAAGGCCCTTTTTAAATTTTTCACGGCAGAGTTCCATTAGAAGTTGACCGTCCACAAGAAGCAGGCCAAGGTATGTCTGATAAATACCCCCCCAAAAATACTATTTGTCAACAACAAAAACCATTTACTTCTACCTGTGATGAAAGAGTGATGTGGACTTTGCAGTGGTCAATTCTCTGGCGTTGCATCATGGACCCAATTGGCCATATTTTTAAGCGACTTGGGATGCTGTGTAAACAACTCCATAGTGGGTTACCAACAGACATTGAATCCTAATAGACGCAACTTTGCATAATGGTACAATTCAGAAATAACATTTGTACCAGGGTTCGACTTAAGCGGTAGCCCGCTAGCCAAATGCTAGTCAAAACTGCGGCGGGCTAGTCAAACTATTGCTTAAGTAGCCCAGCTAGCTGGCGAGTCCAAAATTATTTGGCTACGGCAAAGATGAAGGGACAGGAAGAAATATTTCATTAAATTCAGAAAGCAAACCTGTACCAATTTGTGTCTAATTCTATTATTAATGTTTAGGGTTAAATTATTAGATGTGTTTATCAAAAACACTGACAAGATTGCCTCAGGATACACGTTTTACATGTATGCACATTATTGTTCATGAGATACTCTATAAAAGAAAAACATGCGGTCCAGTGAAAATGCCTGCGGGCTTGTTAAGAGTCTGTTTCAGTAGCCCGGCTGGCTAGTGAAAAAAAGATAAGGTCGAACCCTGTTTGTACAATATTACAATTTTAGATGTTACTGAGTTGCTTCAATCAAAGTGAAATTTGCACCATAATAGGTCATCATTACAGCATTCAGTCTAGAACATCTATCAGGGGTGTGAAATCTCAGCTTTAAAGCTGATTTCAGCTTTTTGTGTGTGTTGGATTTCAGCTTTTTTCAGCTTTTTCCCTCACTTGCTGTGTTCAAAAGTATAGGAGATTTCCAAAGTTCAGCTTTTTTACACCTTTTTCAGCTGTTTTCAGCTATTTTTATCAGTGGTCACTCACACCCCTGATCTATAGAGCCTATATCGTGGAGTCACTGAGCAGACGCTATTGCTAAGTAAGTTACTGTGCTTTACTTGGACAGATCACCAAGATCCTGGCCCTGTGAAGATGATTGAGAATGAAGAAGATCAGCAGAGACAGGAGAAAGATGGGCAGGATGAAGAGGTCAAGAAGGGGGAGGAGGAAGAAGCTAAAGGAGGGGAGGAGGAAGAAGCTAAAGAAGGGGAGGAGGAGAACGTTGCCAGGCAAGACGGCGGGGAAGATGATAACGGAGGACCTGCGTACCAAGATGGAGGTGGGTAAAAAAATGGGGAAGATGATAACGGGGGACCTGCTTACCAAGATGGAGGTGGGTAAAAAAATGGGGAAGATGATAACGGGGGACCTGCGTACCAAGATGGAGGTGGGTAAAAAAAACGGGGGAAGATGATAACGGGGGACCTGCTTACCAAGATGGACGTGGGTAAAAAAACGGGGAAGATGATAAAGGGGTACCTGCTTACCAAGATGGAGGTGGGTAAAAAAAACGGGGAAGATGATAACGGGAGACCTGCTCACCAAGATGGAGGTGGGTAAAAAAAACGGGGGAAGTTGATAACGGGGGACCTGCTTACCAAGTTGGAGGTGGGTAAAAAAATGGGGGAATATGATAATGGGGGACCTGCTCACCAAGATGGAGGTGGGTAAAAAAAACAGGGGAAGTTTATAACGGGGGACCTGCTTACCAAGATGGAGGTGGGTAAAAAAAATGGGGGAAGGTGATAACGGGGGACTTGCTTACCAAGATGGAGGTGGGTAAAAAAAACGGGGAAGATGATAACGGAGGACCTGCTTACCAAGATGGAGGTGGGTAAAAAAACGGGGAAGATGATAACGGGGGACCTGCTCACCAAGATGGAGGTGGGTAAAAAGACGGGGAAGTTGATAACGGGGGACCTGCTTACCAAGTTGGAGGTGGGTAAAAAAATGGGGGAATATGATAATGGGGGACCTGCTCACCAAGATGGAGGTGGGTAAAAAAAACAGGGGAAGTTTATAACGGGGGACCTGCTTACCAAGATGGAGGTGGGTAAAAAAAATGGGGGAAGGTGATAACGGGGGACTTGCTTACCAAGATGGAGGTGGGTAAAAAAAACGGGGAAGATGATAACGGAGGACCTGCTCACCAAGATGGAGGTGGGTAAAAAAACGGGGAAGATGATAACGGGGGACCTGCTCACCAAGATGGAGGTGGGTAAAAAAACGGGGGAAGTTGATAACGGGGGACCTGCTTACCAAGTTGGAGGTGGGTAAAAAAATGGGGGAATATGATAATGGGGGACCTGCTCACCAAGATGGAGGTGGGTAAAAAAAACAGGGGAAGTTTATAACGGGGGACCTGCTTACCAAGATGGAGGTGGGTAAAAAAAAATGGGGGAAGGTGATAACGGGGGACTTGCTTACCAAGATGGAGGTGGGTAAAAAAAACGGGGAAGATGATAACGGAGGACCTGCTTACCAAGATGGAGGTGGGTAAAAAAACGGGGAAGATGATAACGGGGGACCTGCTCACCAAGATGGAGGTGGGTAAAAAGACGGGGAAGTTGATAACGGGGGACCTGCTTACCAAGTTGGAGGTGGGTAAAAAAATGGGGGAATATGATAATGGGGGACCTGCTCACCAAGATGGAGGTGGGTAAAAAAAACAGGGGAAGTTTATAACGGGGGACCTGCTTACCAAGATGGAGGTGGGTAAAAAAAATGGGGGAAGGTGATAACGGGGGACTTGCTTACCAAGATGGAGGTGGGTAAAAAAAAAGGGGGAAGATGATAACGGGGGACCGGCTTACCAAGATGGAGGTGGGTGAAGAACAAACTGATCAGGTCAAACATAATGGAGTAGAGCACAATGAGATGGATCGGTGGTTTAACAAAGGGAACCAGAAAGCACTCGGAGAGCGCAAACCTCCGCCAAGGCTAAACAATTCCCACCATGTTGTCAGTACACCCAAAAGAAATACTCGCATAAATGGTGAAAAATCCTTCAAAAAAATTCCTGCATCCAGACCCAGATTTGTACTTGTACCAAGGACCACCCCCCAAAAAAAAAGTCATGCAAATCCGTCCATATCTTTCTGAGTTATCTTGTTAAAAGACAAACCAACCAACCAACCAACACTTTTTTTTTTACTAACCCTAAACTCTTCAACTCCATCAAAATCCTTTCCCCCAATTTGGATGGAATTTGGGGGACTTGGTCCTGCAGGCCTGTTTCGAATAAATGTTGATGGAGTATGATGGTCTTGGGCCTAGAGGCCTGAAGCAAAGCATGCATTGGAAGCAGTGTGACTGATGGATTGTGGCGGACTTGGTCCAGTACTTAGTAAAAGACAGTAGGGAGTTAGGGTTAATGCACAAGCACATACGCACAATATGTAAATTACATCAAGAATCAAAAAGTAACTGACGAATGTTCAATTTTCCTTGGAGGCACTGATATTAATGATAGAGAGCAGGATTTAAAGCTATAGTCCATTATTTGCAGCCATCCGAAAAGTAACTGGCGTAATTATTGTTGAAAAACATACTTGGTTGAAAGATAGTAAGGGGACTAAACTCCCTGTGAAATTATTCTTTCTGGGAAGCCGTCATTTTGAAGTAACAACGAAAGAAGGCATTTCCAACGGTGATTCTTAAGAAGCACCGTAGGAAAATTTAAATTAGTAGTTCGCAGCGCGCACAAGTATTGGAACGAGGCACACGCGCGCGCGGTTGTTATAATTCGTCGGATCAGTGCGCGACGTCGCGTATAACTGCAATTCAAAACAATTCAAAACATGATTCAGTAACTTTTCTTTTGAAATTGAGATCTTAGAATGTACAGCTGAAGCTTAGCTGAAATTTCATCAGCTTAGTTGCTCAGTATCCTTCATTAGATTTTGAACTCTTTTGTTGCTTCAAACGAACAAAATGCACAAATTACAAATGATGGACTGTAGCTTTAATTGTAGTAGAGTATCATTTGAAACGAGAGCTATAGAACACTTCACATGTTTGCCTCTGTAGAAGAAGTTGATGAAGGCAGGAAGGCCCAGGAGAATGATGAGGCAAGACAGGAGGATTTGGAGAAGGACATGGAGATGAGGATGCAGCGCCTGAGACCACAGGGCGATGAAGAGGACAGGCAGAAGGAACAAGGTAAGGGTCAAAACTAGGAGGGGGCTGTCAGGTCATGTCACAGGTCACAGATCATAGGTCACAAGTGTGTTGGGTTGTGTATTGTACAGGAAGGAAGTTACACTCGTAGCACATTTCTAATGGTAATTGTGGAGCTAAAACAAATTTGATGTACATGAAAAGGTCTCTCTCAAATGACATCGCTTCCTACAGATTGCCACGTGCATTGACATTTTGGGCGTCAAATTTTCGTGACGCGCATCGGCTGCGCCGTATTTCGAATAAATCATGAGCAACACGCATGCGTGTTTAGAACATTTTGCACACTGCGCGCATCCACTCTTGTTTTACTATACTCTCTAGGACAATGTTTTGTGTTTCCCTTTGTCCCTGTAATATACCACTCTCCCATAGACTAAGCACACACACTTAATACAGAGGACCATTTTGAACAAAAGACCCAACGCCCGAGGACTGAAAGGATCTGTTGTTCTCCCTTTGTGTGTCGGTCCTCGGGGGTTATGTACATGTAGAACAAGTACACACGCACCTGATGGCATTGAGCATGCAGTTGTAATTTTCCTACGAAGGTGGAGTCCTATGAGAGAGATCTATTCCATTGCTGTCCAGTCCTTTTGTGAGTAGGAGAATAACTACGAATATGGACAATTGTTTTCCAGTACAAGTGCACGATGAAAAGTTGCTTTCACGTCAATGTACATAAAATAAAGAAACTGTACAGGTACAATTGCAACATTAACCACATTTTGTCAGTTAAATTTGTGCATTTCATTTGTTCATTTTCACATTTTGTGAATTACAAACACCTTACTCGAACGACAAATTATTCCTTTGCCAACCTTGCCTCAAGATGATACAGCCTTGGTAACCCAAAAGGGAATGCCAGGCAACGTTGTGTCAAAGGTCACGCCAGAACCATTACGTCGAGCTGACCATGTTGATGGGTACCAAGGGATACCCCTCATGAGGCCTCTGAACTACCTGTATCCGGAGCAGCCAAGGAGACCAAGAATGCGCCAGGGGTTGACCTCTGTCGTTCAGACGGATGGAACTAGGGGAGACACCCCTCAAGTAGCAGTGATCCCACCAAGCCCTGCTGCACTCCAGCAGAACCCAAGTGACAAGTTTGTGGTAATGTGAATCTCCTTTCCCATGGGATCAAGTGGCTCTGATGCTGGCAAGTGGCTCGCAACTTCTCAAAAGCTTTGCTGTTTTCCCCCTTGATGAACCATGCTGCACCTTCCGTCTGCCTCTGTACCTCAATGCCATTTTCAGGTCCATCATTCTTTGTAACCCCAGCATTTAAAAAGGCTGGAGAATGTTGCTCTACAAACAGAAAGGAAATTATTGTACCAGAATACCAGAAGCTTTCACCGGGATGCTGCATCATGCAGCTTGCAGCCTTTGTGCTTCCCTTGTTGAAACAAACTGCAACCTCCCTTACTCCAAAACGCATTGCATCTTCCATTGTCCTCTGTTTTCTCAACATTTTAAAAGGCTGTCTTCTTGATCCAGTGTTTGCAAACGTCCTTGAGGATGTTGCTTTCAACTTTCTTTGAAATTTCCACGGGATGCTGGATTATGCAGCAACAATTTCTGAAAAGTTTGTTTGTTTCCCTCGGCGAACCAAGCTTCAACCTCCCCCTTCCTTTATATCAACAAAGCATCAGTTTTCCTTCTTCTCTATTTCCTGAGTGTTCCAAAAGATGCTGTGTTCTATGCTCATCCTGTTTTTGCCTGTCAAAATCCTGTCAATTTTGGTGGAAGTGTTGGCACAGCATGTTGCTTTACTTGGACAACCAAATCCCATATCTGTGGTTGCTGTGTGCAATGGTTTTGTCCATGACACAAGGCTGTTCTGGTGGAGGTACGGTTCTTATACATGTAGATAATCAATTGGATATTGCTATAGGTCATGTACATGCATTTCACAATAAGCTCCGGCCGTCTTGCCTGAAAGTCTTGCATGAAATCTACGCTGTTTTACACAGACCCACATGAACAGCGACCTCTAGAGTCACATTGGCGTGTAGCTTGGGAGTTCCCCTTTCATATCAGGCATGCAACTTTTCCTCGGATCTGCTGATTTCCTCGTTTTTTACTTCTCATGAATGACATTACAAATTGAAAAATACTGTACAAAGTCTTGTGTGGTTTGGAGTTTCCTCGTTTTTTTCTAAATTCCCAGTTGCATGCCTGTCATATGCAACACCATACTTTAGATGTACAATGTGTACCTGATTAATAGCGATTTGTGATAAATACCACGTGACTATAACATTACTGAACATATTTGGCCTTCTTTTACAAACTTTTCATAAACATCTTTCCGAATTGTTACATACAAGTATTTAATATATTGTGTTTGCTTTTTTTTTTATTATTTAAGTTTGGTAGTGATATTTTGTGGGAAACTTATGGGGCCTTATTTTGGTCAATTTTTTTTGGGGACAGACAGACAGACTCACCGACCGACCGACCACCAAGTGACATGTTCTAGCTCTTACCAGAGCTTAAAAAAAACACAAGAAAGCTGTTCTTGTCAGAAGAAGAACAAAAACAGTAATGCACATGTGCATAGAAAGGACAAAGATCAAGGTATTTTTGAAATGTAAAAATGGACGCACATGCATGGAGAATTATTTACGACAGCAATCACTGTCAATATGTTGAGGTAGAGCTAGTGACATCCTAGCCTTTCGCCCAGGCAAAAATAAAAAAAAACCTTTCAGGCTTTTATTATTGAACTGTTTTAATTCAACAATTAACACATGAGCAATTCAACTGTAAGCAATTCAACAATTAAAGAAACGCTTAGTTCACGCTGACGCAAGTTTCATACACTAGCCTTTATTAGCCCTCCTATGGAAACATGCATTGTCAGCCTTGTTATTGCTTGGGTCAATATTGGTCAAGACCCCTATTGGTTTGTACACAGTAGGCCAGGAGGTGAGGAAGTAAATTTTGACCATTGGTGACCTCTTAAATAGTAGGAGGGTAAGTCATGTTAGTGAATCACACGTGACCGTGTTTCAGCCAACCAGGATAAAGAACAAGCAAGAGGAGTGTTATAATCATAGTTAAAGGGAATATACATCATTTGCTTTTGCTGTAATTTTCAGAAACGGATGGAATTGGGGGGTTGGAAATATATAGCAAATATAGTTACACTGACTTTTTTGAGGTTTTGGGTTCGAAAATGCTATAAAAACCAAGGAAAACGATCATTTTCCTGTAGTCTGGTTCCCTGACTCCATATAAGAAAAAAACAGAGCAGTTTACATACATGAGGGAATTGTAAGGTCGGGGAACCAGTCTAGCTGGCTCGTACCCGTTCATAGGTTTGTAATCGATTGCAAACAAGTGCGATGGTCAATTGGGGCCTGTATTAGGAAAAAAAGCCAGTTGTTTCCAACGCTGATCGGCCGATCAGCGTTGGAAATTGATACAAAAATACCTTTTTTTCTTGAAAATGAGAGTTTACCAGGTGCCATGATTTTACAGGATGCTTTACACTGTCATTCACTAACAGTCCAGCAAGGTATTTCAAAATGATTTGGTAGTTTTATTTTTTGATGTTTGCAAATGTTGTATTTTCCCTTTAATGATATTTTGTCTGTTTTGTCTACAGAGGATGCTGGAGGAGATGAGGAACAGCCAGGCAGAGAGCAGGATGAGGGAGGGGAGGACAGGGCAGAGGATAGGGATGGGCGACCGCCAGAATATGGAGATGACAGAGAGGAAGGTGACCAAGGCGATGAAGGGAGAGATGCTGAAGAGGTTAGCCAATTCCTAAACAGTAAATGCAGGGACGCAAGTTTGGAAATTGATTTCAATTTTTAGCTGCGATTTTAGCTGCGGGTAGCAGCTCAACAAATCATCATGTCTCTCCGTTAGTTAGTTAGTTAGTAACAAACGTTGACATTCTCTATTGCATATTTTGACCGATTTCAACCAAACTTTGTCTATCAGTAGTCCAGCCCCAACATGTCACATGACCAAACTGGGGTCAGAGGTCATCATGGGTCACTGGGGTCAAAACCTGATATTTTTTTTTACTACAAACACTACTCCTTCAAGAAAGTATGTGGCACAATCAATTGACTCATGCATGAACACGAATTTGTTGGCCAGCAGCTTCTGAGAGCCTATTGAGCATCTTTTTATTTAATTTATTTGACAATAAAATTTAGAAAAGTCTTTTGTTTTATCTTTAGCCAAATGAAGGAGCCAACGTCCCAGTAGTGGACCAAGATATTCAGATAGAAGGAGACAATGAAGGTAGGTTGTGTCATTGTCTTCTGTTTGTTGTTTGGTATTTGGGTATTTTATCAAATTATCAGTTATATTTTTTGGATTTAGAGAAAATGAGAATTTGTAAAAACTTGTTTGAGTGTATTAATGTTTGGAAGTATGTCTCCCAGTGACATATTCTTTGACAAATGACCGAGTCAGAAATGCTAGTCAGGGTTCCGATGAAAGGTTCCAAGATGCCTTCGGATTGAATGGGATGTCCTAGCTTGTTGCCAGGCAGAATGCAAAGTAGGCTATCAGCTTTGGTCCAAAAATTGGGCCACCGGTATCAAATGATCGAAAGGAGCAATGCTCAAAGCGATTTTTGGCAAGGTATGCACATCTAGAGTTGGAAAATGTGTGATAGCTTTGCAGTGTGAGCGGTGGAAGTTTTTGGGATGTAATCACTTTTAATTTTTTTTCTTCAAAATGGCCACCAATAGGCTTGTTACTGGATTAATTATATGTGGTAACAAGTTTATTTTGGCCGCCATTTAAAAAAAAAAAAGTGATACCAGCCAAAAAGCTGCCACCGCTGCAATGCTATCACATATTTTCCAACTACAGGGGTGCATACCTTGCCAAAAGTCACAATGAGCATTATTCCCCTCATTTGATACTGACCAATCCCCCAGGCTGATGGCCTAAAGTCCTTCCACTCTGACCCGCAGGCAAAACAAGAATAGTTCAGGCTTTTCCCATTGGGAGTTTCTTATCTTTAACCAGAGTTGCAACAATGTCGGTGATAAAGTCACTCTTAAAACCAAACAATAACGCTGAGCAGATTTTATGACTTGATTCACTGCAAAATATTCAACTGATTTTAGAACGTTTGCTCTTTTAAGAGGTGCTATCAAGTGCATTCCTCTGTAAAGAGGAATGTTTACAAAGTTTTCATGGGTGGGAATTGAACCCAGGACCACCTGCTTACCAGTGCAGACATTGGTTTGTGTTCCTGCAGAGCAAGAATTCAGTATCCAGGGTTAGTGATGATACATGCATGCATGGGAAAATCCGCTCCAATCCCCCCCCCCCCCATCCCCCCCCATCCCCCACCCAAAATTACCATTTTGTCTGAATCTTGCCATGGGCATGGTTTAATGGCAATCAAGACATTTGCAGTGCTGTGAACTGTGTTGGACATAGCCCAGGTGGACTCCCTTTCCTCCCTACGTAACGGAGGGAGTCCAGGGTATGAAGTGCTCAAAACCGGGTGAAAAAAATTATGACCAATATTTTCAATATTTTTACCTTGTTGGAGAAGCCAATTTTTATGTCGTAGTATTCTATGTGTCCTTATCTATTGGGCCGCTGGGTTCAGGAATTCCATATGCGATGCTGACTGACCTTAATCAGGAAAATAAACTCTAAAGCAACGTTAAACTTGTACGTGTTTGTAGACTCTTTTCATCAGTTTCTCACCGCAGAGTTTATTCTAGTCGTACATGACGTATGTCCGTGCAGCGTGTAGTCTGGTTCCCTAGACCTGACAATTATGCTCGGCGCTCATATCACGTCTGGTCTGGGAGCCAGACTATGCAGCGTGAATATGCAGTCTGCACGCGCGATTTGCTTAGTAACCACCCTCATACGCACGCGCACTTACTTGAAGGCGTGGTCTCGTGTTTTCGCGCCAGTTACCAGAAACATGTTTCGGCTTTGGTCATTGGTTGAGCGTTTTCGTGACGTCGGTTGGCTGCAGTGACGTCACTGTTCCAACCAAAACTAAACAAATGAGGGCGCTAGCGTGCGCGCTTTCGTGCTTACGTACATGACGTACGACTCGGGAATAAAACTGATGAAAAGAGACTACAAACACGTACAAGTTTAACGTTGCTTTAGAGTTTATTTTCCTGATTAATGTCGGTCAGCATCACATATGGAATTCCTGAACCCCTGGATCAATAGAGAAGGACACATAGAAACTGTAGGCGTGAAATAAGCTTCTGTAACGAGGTAAAACGTAACAAAAATCTGGTCCAAATTTTGGGTGGTCTTATGTAGAGAATTCTCATCCTGGATGTCAGTCGTAATGCAATGAAGACTTCGTCCAACCTGGGCTATGTTGGACAATGATTGTATAATCTTCTACTGGCTGACTGGGTCAAACACAGTGTACACTACTTTGCTCATGCATGTACCAGCCTAGTCCGAAATTCGGGACTCTCAATACTTTGTATGAGAGTTCCAAAACTTAAGGTATTGAAAACATGAAACAACCAGTCCAACACTGCTAAGTACTGCATCAATAAACTGTGTCAAAAGAAACATATGGCATGTGTACTGGTCTCTATTTCCATACATTTCTCCATAGTCAGTCACTAATGACAACAAATGAAGAGGTCAGTCTCTTCAAACAGTTGGATCATGGTTGGACATGTACCAGTCTAGTCTTTAGCCTCATTTTGAAATCACTTGACTTCCCTGTCATGTGAAAATATTGAAAAAAGTCTCCTTTAAAAAGTGAAGTTGGCCTGATTTGGTTTTGCATGTTTCTGAGCACTCAAGGTCCCAGTCTTGTACCAGCCATGAGACAAACAACACCCCCCGTCATGTCCCCCTCCAAACCCTTGAAAGTCAACTCATCTATCCAAACACTGAAGCATCAATATTTCTTTTGTAATTGACAGATCCGGAAGTCTAAACTTCAAAAGGTGATTTCAAAAGTACGGAGTTATAACTCTGTGTTTCATTAAAGAAGTAATGCTGCTTACATGGTGTGCTTGGTGGGTTTGCTTGGGTCGGCAGCTTGGCTAAGGGAAATGCTTGGGTAGATGGGATCTGGTGATGGTTTATGGCAGTAACACTGGCCTCAAAGCAAGCAGTGTGCTTTTGTTTTATATGTGCTATGCCTAAGGCCCCCAAAAAAGTCTTCGGTTTCTGGTATGGAGCTTGCCCCAAAAGTGGTGCGGCGACGCGGCTTTTTTTTTCAACTTTTTTTTTTCTTCAAATGTCGGCTGATGTTGCAGATGACGACGCTTCGATCCGCTTAAAACTCTCAAACATATCCTTCAGGGTGGAGCTTGAGGTGACCTCAGTAAGGCCATAAGGCTTGAGAGTTCTGCACCCACTTACGATCTCGACCGACACGAGCAATCTTCGGGAAATTTGGATAGTCAAGACAAAAATCAGAGAAAACAGTAACGTCAGACCATACAGCGACATCGACATAGTGCCTGTGCTGCCAGGCTGGTCATTAGTCTGCTCACTTACATATTGCACTAATTAAAAGGCCTTTACAGGTTCCAGATACACGACCATCACATCCACACACACGTCTGGCTTCCACACACACACACAATCACAAAAATACAACACTGTCTGCAAATGGTGCCCGACTATTCTGTGCAAAATATATGGGAGCCCAGATAGGCCACATAAATCTTATACTCAATCGTAACCCCATCTAAAACCACATTAAAATTTGTGCGGCAGCAGGATTCCAGTCGAACCAGTGAGTTTGGCGGTTTTGAGACATCATCTTACATTGAAATTTTTTTTAAAAATTTTGCCAACGCGCATGGCTATGGCGACGCAGGCCCATACCAGAAACCGGAGCCTTTTTTTTTTTTGGCCTAAAGTCCATTATTTTTTCCTTGGCGTGCGCTAAATGCTGTAACGCCATCCATATTGTACAGGTTACATATAGCATGCAAAATGCTGCCATACACATCAAATCCAGTGACAATCTGTGACAATAACCTCTGACAGTTATTGGAAGTGGATGAGCTTATTTTAACTTTTAAGGACACCAGTAACCCTCCCCCCCCCCAAAAAAAAATTATCTCTAACCCTAACCCCTTAAGTATTTTTACTAGAAAGTATCCTGAATCTGCCAAAATCCACCAATTTTGTCATGCAAAAAAATGTTGGTGTTATGAGTCCATCAGAATCCACTAGTACTGAGTTTATCAGAATCCACCAGTGTAGTACACATACCTCGTACACACCAAACATATAGCCAAGGCGTTAAACTGTTGAGATCCTGAATCCATCAAAGTCCCCCAACTGCTCAATATGGAGGTATCCTGGATCCGTCAAAATTCTGTAGAACCGCGAGGCTTACTGTCCTGAATCCATAAAAATCCCCCAACTTTTTCAATATGGAGGTATCCTGAATCCACCAAGATCCTCCAAAACAGGGGTGTGGATTTTGATGGATTCAGGTACGTTAGGGTTAAATTATCTTTGCAAGAGGCAGAAAAGTGGACATAGTTTTTTTCTTGAAACTTTTGTCCTGGCCAACTAGGCTCCAAAAACCTGGCTATGCCACTTGTGCAAACATAGCACTTCCTCAGTGTACATGAATCACAATTGGAGGAGTTCTTTCCTGAATTAAAATTGTGTGTTCCAGTTCTACAAACTGGCACAGAAAATTGTAAAGCCCTTACTTTAACTGAACCAACCAACCAACCATGCCATCTGCATTGTTTTTGTTGGAAAACATCTGTGTCACAAACTCCTCATCGTGAATGAGAAACTAGAAAAATTGCGATAGTCAACTGCGCATTTGTACCAGTATTTGCACCGCCGGACTGTATTTCATCATGGTAGGGCTAGGATTATTTTTTGGCAGGTTTGACTGTACATTGGTGAGCAGGCAGCATAACATTTCATCCACTTTGAATTTTTTTGTTTTTTAAAACCATGTACTTGACAGATGAAGAGGTAGGAAATGAAACTTGGGAAGCAGAACAGGAACAGCGGCAACGGCAGGTAGAGGATGGGGGACCGGCGGTGGAAAGACCTGCGTTCATTTATGATCAGGATGCAGATCGAATGCAAGGCAGGGATGGGGGAGAAGGGGATGGTGCCGGGCAAGGAGAGGATGAAAATGGGCTGAAGGAGGAGGAGGAGGTCGGGGATCCTGGAGAGGCAGAAGATGTTGGAGATGCAGGAGACGAAGAAGATGCACCGCAAGACGGTGAGCAGCAATTTGATGATGGACAGGAAGTTGAGGAGGAGGATGCTGAGAACCCAGATGATGCTGAGAACCCAGATGATGCTGAGAACCCAGCTGATGATGGGAACCGAGATGATGCTGAGAACCCAGATGGTGCTGAGTACCCAGATGATGCTGAGAACCCAGATGATGATGGGAACCCAGACAATGATGGGCACCCAGATGATGCTGAGAACCCAGATGATGATGGTAACCCAGATGATGATGGGAACCCAGATGATGATGGGAACCCAGATGGTGCTGAGAACCCAGATGGTGCTGAGTACCCAGATGATGCTGGGAACCCAGATGATGCTGGGAACCCAGATGATGCTGGGAACCCAGATGATGCCGAGAACCCAGATGATGCCGAGAACCCAGATGATGCTGGGAACCCAGATGGTGTTGAAAACCCAGATGATGCCGAGTACCCTGATGATGCTGGGAACCCAGATGATGCTGGGAACCCAGAGGATGCTGGGAACCCAGAGGATAATGGGAACCCAGAGGATAATGGGAACCCAGAGGATGGTGAAGAGCAGCAGGAGGGTCATCTAGAGCTGGGCGATGTGGAGATTGAGCAAGCCAACGCTCTGTCTTCGAATGAAGCTGAACGCAATGAGCAGGAGCAGAATCAGGAGAACTACGCTTGTAATACAGCATGCCTGTTATTCTCCCATGTGTCTCTCCCATTAACACATCACCACTTTTCTTAGTCTATCTTATGGGCAACTTGCACATATCCCAATTTTTGGATTTTTAACAATTCTTTTGAGAGAGCAAGGGAAAGAGTACACGTACATGACTTTTGTGAGATATTGCCCATAGTGAGTTTGACTGAATGTTTGACTACTAACAAAGTAACCTTTCTTTTGATGTGTTGTTTTTCAGAAAAACACCACTTAGGGAAACTGACACCGATTAATGATTCTCTCACCATAAACATTTCAACATTATAAACTTTATACATGGTGGAACTGAAGATCCTGCAAAGTTACTTTGTATATCAGCATACCCCCAAGATACATCCTTGGAATGGGAGCTAAAATTGTGGCCAAAGGATTGAGAGAATTGAGGCAATATTCCGTTTCTGTTTTTCGTATTGCGTGTAACTTGAAATTGTTTAGCACTGATGACTTGTAATTTGAGGGTTCTTTAGGCCTAAAATACATGTAGGACCAAAGGAAAAATCCAAACAGTTTTACGTAGTTATTCGTGCTCTTAAAGGGATTTCCAAGAAATTTTTGTGAAGAACGAAAAATAATCTACTGAAATTGAGTAGAATTTGCAAACATGCTCTGTTTTTCACAAATGTAAAGTTGTAATCAAGTAGACTCAAATACTGTTCAGGAAAAAAGACATCTACCGGAAAGGCCAAATAAAAAAAAAACATGTTTAGCGTCCCCACCCGCTTCCTTTTTGGAGGCCGCCTCCTGATACATTTTAAAAAGTGACATCATTCTGGCCTTTGTCTGTTGCATCTAGCCCATAAAAGCTGGTATGTCATTCCTGAGTCCAAGTGGTGGCCATTTACTCCCCAAATTGTTTGCTTAGTAGCCGGGTCCAAAACGTCCTGGAAGTCCAAACAGAAATATATGTGTATGTTTTCCATTGCAATTTGGTTACCAGCCAAAAAAGTCATCTCTCTCCATTGTTTTGGACTGGTTCACAGCTCATATTTCCACAGATGTTTCTATTTAGAAATAACCCATTCACTTAATTCTAAATTATATCAACATTCACATTCTTGTAGTCGTGTGCACCGTTTGTATAACCATCCATCCAAACAAGTTTCTTCATTTGATGCGTGTTTGTGTTTGTGTGTTTGGGAAAAAATTACTTCATATTAAGGATTTTCTCATCCATATTTCTTTTGGGTACAAGAAGAACTGATCCCATTAGACTGTGCATAGGGAATGCTCTTTTTCGTTTGTGTGTCCACACACTTTGTACATTGTTGTGCAGACCACTAATATACATGTATGCAGTAACAACTGATTGCATTTCAGATCACCAGCATTTTGCAGTGGTTTCTGTTCAGCACTCCTCTAACTGGGTGTGGTATCATGTAATGCAAATAAAGTGAATACAATAGGTTGGATAAGACCTAGCCAGAGAGTCAAAATTGAAGCCCTTTTTTATCAGTTCGTGACCTGTCCAGTGTTTCCCCTGGCTAATGAACTGAGCGAGGTGGTAACAATTCAACTTGATGATTGAAACGAAATTTACAGTCTGCAAACTGAAAAGAATGCAGCGCTCACAAAACTGCGCGATGATTAAAAAAACACATCCAAATTGTGAGTTCTTGATACATGGAGGTAAAGGAAAATGCTCACATATTACACAAAATGAAAATTTTACAATTGATATTTCCTTTTTTGCCAATCTTCACAGCGAGGTGGTGATATTGGCAAAAATTGAGCGAGGTGGTCACTGAAAGTAGCGAGGTGGGCCACCTCACGTTTGAATGGGCAGGGGAAACACTGGTATAGAATATCAAGCATTTATTCTGTCAATACCAAATCTTGTCTCTCAATTTATGATTCTTTGGCTTCAACGTTGTCTCCATCCTAGTCTAATGTAGCACTGTTCTGGAACATGCTGATGAATAAGGCACAGTTCTACATGTACACCCACAAATTTGAACATGTGCCAACCGAAAAAAAGGGAAATAAATTTGCTATAAGCCCGGTTCATACTTCATGCAAAAGCGAAAGCGAAGCGAAATTCGTGACGTCAACAATACATTCGAAGCGCGTCCACACATTGTTGTCGACATGAATTTCACTTCGCACATGCTTTCGCGTGAAGTATGAACCGGGCTTTAGAAATTGCCCTGAGAAATTGGAGACTGCATGAATTTCCAGAAAGTTTCTCTGAATTCGAGAAACTAGAAAAATGATGTAATCAAATGGCATCTTTTGGATACTTGATAAAATTCAGGGGAACTTAAGCCACCTAGCCCCATGTAGAACTGTGCCTGATCTTAAATGTACCCTTAAATTAAAAGTATTCATTGTTGGGATTTTTCTTTCCACTACCCAGACGGAAACGTGAACAATGCCGCAGACTACCCAGATCATGACAACAATCCAGATGGCGGAAACGATCAGGAAGCTGATGCACAAGAAAACGACATCCGACACCACTACGACGCCGGCGACGCGCAAGGGAATGAGAACTTGGAGGAAGGCCGAGCTAATGATGTTTACGACGCCAGGGATCATGTATAACGAACCCTTACCATTGTCACTGTCTGTCATGTCTCATGTTTCAAACCTTGCATGATTTTTGCTTTTTACAATTAGGGTTTAAGAAGTCCACTTTTTCCATGTTTTGTTTTTAGCACACCAGAAATACTTCATACTAAACCCCTAAATAATATATAATTGTAATTTTAGTAATTATTTTGCTTACTTAAGCAAAACATCAATCTTTACTTAAGGAAAACATCAGTCACTACTATTTTTTCTGATATTTTTTTAGTTATAACACTATTTTAAAAACTTATTGTACCTTTCCAAAAATCACAATTTGACAAAGTAAGATCTATATACTCTAAAATCTGATTTTCAGTGTGTCTACAAGGCATAAGATTTAAAAGTATTCGTTAATAAAGAGTGTTTGTATTTGTCAAAAATTGGGGTGATACCATGAATTCGCGTGAACTAAAGTAAATGTATCTGAAAGAAAAACCCATGATATATGACGTGATATGATTGCCATAGTCATATGATGCAACATAGAAAACATGCCAACAGTCTTGGTTCAAACCTATTCAGGCATGCAACTTTTCCTCGGATCCGCTGATTTCCTCATTTTTTACTTCTTATGAATTAATGCCATTACAAAATTTAAAAACACTGTACAAAGTTTTGTGTAGTTTGGAATTTCCTTGTTTTTTTCTTCTTCTAAATTCCCAGTTGCATGCCTGCCTATTGGTAAGGCAAACCAATTTTCCCTAAAATGTTCACGGGGATGATTCACAATTTGCAAAATTTTGGAATTCCTGGCATCAGTGACAATGCTGTCATTGTTTGGGGAGTGTACCACACTGTCCAAATGTTGACATTGAACAGTTTCCAATCCAGAATGCATTGCTCCGCTCTCCTTCTTTGCATTCACTCCTAATTTTTACTATGTTAACGTTTTCTTGTGATCGGAAGCATCTAAAATGAACTTGAATCATGAACTGTATGTCCACAATGATACATTCCACCATTTTATATCATGAACTGTATGCAAATATTGCTGTGTGATTTGTTTCAAAGTGCCACGTATCTGTGACATATATCAACACGGTGCTGCCTATGCTTTCTGATAGTCGGTAGTCGTACGTGTTATTATGGTGTTTTCTGTCTAAATGCAGGTTCATGCTGCTAGCGAATGTGAAGCATGTACCGCCAAAAACATTTCAAGCGAAGTTCACATAACTTCTAAATTTGGTACTACTTAATGTCTGGATTTGTCTTGTATATGGTACAGACCTGTTGAACTTTTTAATTAAGAAGTGCAACACTGTGTTACATGCAAAAAAATTCTGATTCAAACTTAATGTGATTGTGTACTGATAGGGCAGTGCAGTAACTACTTTGAAGTAATAGTGATTTTGTTTATTGTGCCAAAGTCATTTTGAATGACGGGGACAATCTGATTTCGTAATTCAAATTCTCAAAACCTATCGATCATAAGGCCAAAAAAAAAAAATTTCGGTCTCTGGTCAGACCAAAGTTCTGGAATTGACGCGGCGATGCGTTTTTTTTTTTTTTCTTTTTTGGTGTCCTCGTGTACATTGGTGTCCTCCATAATTTGCCTTGGTGCTTTCGATCATTTGCCTTGGTGCAATTTCCCATTCCTTGGTGCTCTTTGGTAAAACAAATTGAGGAGGTGCGGAAATAGAGGGCGCTGTTGGAGCTACCGCGGAACATTTTGGAAAAAAAAAGATCGACGCGCATGATTAAAATCGACGCGCGCACTGACCAGAGACCGACTTATTTTCTTTTTTGGCCTAATATCTATTTATTTCTAGCACTGGTTATACTTGTGTACTTACCTCTTTGCCAATTGAATTTTGTACCCTCTAATTATTGAAATTTAGGAATTTTAGTCAATATGGGACAAAGTCTCCGCAGAACTGAACTGACTTTGTAAAAACAACCTGCGTAACGAGTGAAAATGTGTTCTACATGATGCCCATACCTTAACACATGTATGGGGAATTCAAGTAACTAGTCTTTTTGTGGTGGGGGTGAAATGTGGATACCTCCTCAGTAATTATACTATGACTTTTGGTTGCTAAAACTTTATTTATTGCATGCATCACCTAAAACTGCCCAACCTATACTTTTCTGGAGCCACTGTTATTGAAAGGAGCACAGCATCTTGGAAAGCATCCAATTGGGCTACAAAATTTGTCCCTATATATGATCCCCCCCCCCCTTCCCCCCGCGGTAGAGTTCAGCAGATTTCCCATTCCCCTTTAGCGCGCAAAACCTTCTCAACACTTGATTGCACCTTTAAGCATGCAATTTTGTTGCCCAATGCAGGGATCACCAATAGTGTCATTATATACATGTACAGTGTTTGTACCCAGTTCAATGCTGAGCAAGTGAATCAATTGTTTAGCAAGTAAGCAATGTTTCCAACTTACCAACTCTGGTTATAAGACTGTAATAGGCTGGGCAGTTTTAGGCAATGTAACTATTAAAGGCTGGTCCATACTCGGCATAAAAACCAACACAAATTTATGACGTCATGGCAAGTTTTCGCGCTGCGGTATTCACAAGAGTTTAAGACATTTCAACTCCGATAAAATTCCCAGCAAATGTTTTGTGACGTCAAATTCGCTTTGCACTCACATGAAGTATGAATCACCTTTAGACTGAAAGAGAAAGTCACTTTGTTACACAAAATTTGATGTTTATTGTCATTTTGTAATGAGTGTTTTCCTGTTATGTTTCCTTAGTGTACAGTGTACGTTTTTTTTCCCCTTGAGCAAGCCATGATGTATATTTCTTTGAAGCTATAGAAGGCAATAATATTTTATTTCATATATGTATTTTTAATTCCGAGCAACAGGGGATATTTTGTGAAAAATCTTTGTTTAAGTTCATTTGTGTTGCTTTTTTTTTTCAAGTTGAGCAATAGAAAATGTGTCATTTAATTATTACTGTAGAAGTCTCTCCTGAACAAATGATACGAGTTGAATTTTGTTGGTGGCATTTGTAAGAGGTAAGGTAAGAGATGTAGATGCTGGATTCATGTTTTTGCATGGGATACATTCTTATGGACGAATAGGGTCAAGTTGAAATGGTACGCATAAAGGATGATTTGCGGCTCGGAAAAACTACATGCACCTGGTTGTATCAGCATTTTGTGTGGTGGTTTCACCAAATGCACACACAAACATCTTAAACTTTTAATATGAAATACACATTGCCCATAATGGGCCAGATAAAATAACCAAGCAAAATGGCGATTTAACAAGCAACTTTTTTCTGAGCCGCATGTGTATCCCGTATGCGTACCATTTCCAATGGTCCCTTTTGAAATAAACGTAATTGGAAAGTAGTTTGGAGATTTGTTTTTAAGCAATGTCAGTGTATCAGGGAATTTCCCAGGATACAAACTCTTTCTTTTTTTCAGAGTGGGTTGGGGGGAGGGGGGTTGGGGGGAGGTAGTCAGAGGTTAGACATGCTAGATGTATTTTATATAATGCTGCTTTGACCTATGTTTTTTTTCAGTTCAGTTTTCTTTGTGTCTTTTGACCTGTGCATTGTTAAATTATAATTTAAAGTATGATTTGTCTTTTGCATGTATTGCATTTAGATGTATAATGCGGAGACCACCTTCTGTTCTGAGAAAGTATTCTGATTGATAAACAGGATTTTTTTAAAGGAGAAAATCATTGTTTCAATTTGTACAGTGCTTTTGTTTGTATACAAGTGCTCTCACGTTTTAAAAACCTGACAGGAAACTGACTACATATCATCAATTATTTTAATTTAAAATTCACACACAAAGTACATGTAGGTCTACACAATATACAAAAGAGTCATTAATACCCTGATGACAAAACCTCTCGCTCCTCAGTTCATGATTTCAAGAACCCAAAGTATTATATTTTAAATAGTCAAGTAGGGTTGGCTTATAATTAGACTTTTCTAATGTTTTTGCAGCGATTTTTTTCCCCTCAAAACTACGGCTCTAGGCATACAATCTTCTTAAACAAGAAGACATAATTGCAATGATGTCCAGACAATATACAAATTAACACACCTATAGATCTCTCTCATAGAATGCTATCTTCATAAGAAAATTACAATTGCGTTCAGTGTGCAAAATGTTCTAAACACGCGCGCCTGTTGCTCGAAATTTCTTCAAGATACGGCGCAGCCGATGAGCGTTATGAAAATTTGATGCCCAAAATGCCGATGCACTTGGCAATCTGTAGGAAGTTACATCATTTGAGAGATCTATTTATGAGATAAGACGACCCTAAGACCGGTCTCAAGTTAAGACAAGTTCAGAGGCGTTGCTAAGGAAGTTAAGACATGTGCTGAACACATCCCAAGTTTGTGAAATCAATCCTAGGATGAGTCGCAAGATAAGACGAGTTTCGATGATGGGACGCGTCTTGGGGTTTCGTTTAATTGGCCCTGGACTCTGATGTTAAATAGTTAGACTCACTGTGAATGTTCCTTTGGAAGCTAATGGAGCAATATTCATTTTGTCACCAGTTTCAGCATGCCTTTACAGCTAATGTAAATGAAGTCTATTGAATGACCCTGTTATTTGCCAATGCAGAAGTCTTGGAACACCACGTCCAAAATCTCCTCCACCCCAACTCTGCCCGTGATCTTGCCAAGCTGCCTGAGTGCAATACGAAGCTGTTCAGCTGCCATTACGAGGTCCTCATGACTGCTGAATGCCTCCAGAGCAGCCAGACAATGTCTCAGGTTGCTACGGTGACGGGCTTGCGTCAAGCTGGGGTTGCCAAGCAAGGGGTTTCCACACCTAAGCAAAGAAACGAGAAAACAATTTAGATTCTTATTGCAAATGGAGGCTAAGAATCACATGCCATATAGGCTCTGTGCGCCAACAAAAGAGGGTCCTTTTTTACCAATTTTGAGAGCACCGTGGACTAGACACACACCGCGTGCGTACTGTACTGGTTTCGCGCGCGAAGTTCGCAAGACTTATTTATCCTGAATCTGCCCAAGCTAAGCCATCATGAGCATCTTCGCGTGAGCGTCCTCGGTGTGAATGCGTTCAATTTCTCTTTCAAAAGTCTCCCAGACTAGTTCTCACCCCCCATAAGTATGGATACATTCAAAGTCTGCAACGGATGGACCAGGAACCAGTCTCGGTCTCCCACAACTCTCTTTTCTGGCCGTTGAAGGGGTATTCGTGCACGGAGCCCATAACAAGTCATAATCAATCAAATTAGAGGCAAGGTAACAATTGGGTTGAACATTAAGGGGCCCTTCACAATTATCAACATTTTCACGTGCGTACAAACCGTACGCTGGGGGGGGGGGGGGAGGGGGTTAATGGCCGCTGTATGCTTTTTTTTTTTTTTAAATGTCGATATGTTTTCTCGCCCGTTAATGCCCGCCTAACGCTTTTTTTTTTTTTTAAATGTCGATCTGTTTTCTCGCCCGTCACCACAGCCGACAGCCGCAACCGATGCCGATCGAGCACTTGCCGAGCCGGTCGCGCCCCGCGCCAGGCCCCGCATTGCATCCCATGAACGTATTGTGTACAGCATGCGCGGCATTGTCCTACACATGTACATGAAAATGTACTGTATGTACATGTACATGTATAGTCCGTATCCACTGCGTGTTTTTAAAGGCCGGTGTCACATGAAAATCCGACTCCTATGAAAATCGGACCCCTTTTTCCCTTTTATTGGTTCATCCCTCGCACGTGACAGGTCACTCTCCCCAAACGATCCTAAAAATAGCATAGTATCGTACTCACGCGTGCGCACTACTACCAATGAGTCCACATTTCATGGAGTCGGATATTCACGCTACACCTGTCGAACAACACCGGCACTAGCAATGGCTGACAATAAATATTCTAGCCGTGCTGTTGACTTGGATCAATTGTTGAAATTCCTCATTCGACAAAGGATGTATTGTCCACAAGAATCCGACCAACAAATACATGGAGTTTGTAAGGGGCCGTTCACAATCATTTATAATACATACATCTTCATTCACATTGAATAGGGGTTCATGTCATGGCCAAAATCTTGATCTACAAAAGTTACAAAAACCCTTTAAATCACATGCAAGTGTCTATATATAGACTTGTGTGAAAACAAATCAACATGTTTTTCGTACACTTTTAGGGGGAGGGGTCTTGAAAAAGCGTACTCTTTGTACACTTGTGAAAATGTTGATAATTGTGAACGGCCCCTAACAAAAGAATGTCATGATTTGAGCAGATCGTCCCTTAACTTGATCTGCATGCCTTGTGATGGACATACGATTGACCTGCGAGGAAAACATGCAAAACCTTTGAAACACATGCAAAACCTTTGAAACACTTACAGAGCCTCAACTTTGCCCCTCAAGATCTCCAGAAAGTGGTCCATTCCCTGGCCTGTTGTGCAGGACATGATGCAGACTGATCTCTTCTGTACTTCATTCTTCTTGTCATGTTTCTGACAAAGTGCCGATTCTATGGATGTGAGGGTATCCATACAATCAACATCAACAAGATCCGATTTATTGATGACAACGATTGAGGAGTTCTGAAACCCCCCGTCACCAGGAATGGAATCCCCGGACGGTGATGACCCCTGGGTCGGTTCAGAGGTCAAAGTCTCTGTCTCCTGAAGCCTCTTTTCCAAGATGGTGGAGAGTCTATCATGGCTATTGCTTGTTGAGGAGGCTATGTTACTGATGATGTCACTTGCTTCCGTCATAATGATGGTCAAGTCAGCATTTTCAGCCCTGTAGAAAACAAACAATGTTATAAGATACATGCCAAACAATTACTGCCAACATAGTGATTTTGTATGTCAATGTTGTGATACTCGTACTCACTAGCACTGAAGTTCATTTTTGGGTACTCGTACATGTACTCAAGACAAAGTAGTCGTACTAGTACTCCTGCAAGCATTCTTCCGCAAGACTACATTAAACAATTTTATAAGAGCTACATGCAGAAAAAAACAATTTCAGATTATTTGGGAGGCTTCTATCTGCACTTGTTTAATGTCTAGTTTGCAGTGTTGTAGTCGAGACCCTGCAAGACCTTCACAAGACCTTCACAAGGCCATCACAAGACCCACACAAGACCTCCAGTCTTAATTCAAATACAAGCTATTCAAATGAACTGCATCCAAAGGCATTCCCTTTGTCATTTATAGTGCCTGGTTACTTGTGGCTGGTCTTGTGTATGGTCTTGTGCTTACTTTGCAACTGGTCTTGTGTCTGGTCTTGTGATGGTCTCGACTACATCACTGCTAGTTTGACAACAAAAAGCCGTTGAGAACATAAACGAAAATTGCTCCTAACTTGTGGACGGTACTTGTACTAGTACATTTTTGGGTACTCGTATTCATGCTAGTACTCATGAAAAAAAAAGCCTTGTACTCATACTCGTTGAAATGTACTCGACTACACCACTGTTTTATGTATGACAATAATACAGACCAATGACGATTCTCTATTGAGACCCTGCTAAGAGCCTCATGTTGGCACTTACAAAGGTAGCGTCCATAATTTGTAATTTGTGCATTATGGTCCTTTGAAGCAACAAAAGTACTCAAAATCTAAAGATGGGTGCTGAACAACTATAAGCTCAGTGAATGCTGTATATTTCAAGAAAACAATATTCTAGGATCTCGATTTCAAATCAAAAGTTGCTGAGACCTGTTTTGAATTGCGCCCTAATTCAGCATCCGGGACACGTTCTCATTCAGCCAATTGCAGCTACGCGATGTCGCGCACTGAACTGACGTGTTATAGCAACCGTGCACGCGTGTGCGTCGTGTCAACGCCAAATTAAAAAAGAACTACTGGCGGAGAATTCCAAGAATGCGTCTTTAGACGCATCCTTGGAAACGGCCTTCTTTCATTGATTTCATCAAAATGACAGCTTGCCAGAAAGAATAATTTCACAGGGAGTTTAGTCCCCTTACCGTCTTTCAACCAAGTATGTTTTTCAACAATAATTATGTCAGTTACTTTTTGGATAGCTGCAAATGATGGACTGTAGCTTTAAAAGGTACCTTTGCCTGGCCCTACGGACGCCTTCCTGTTCTATGACATCCTGAGTCTCTCGTAATCCCGCTGTGTCTAGGAGGAGCACAGGGTAGCCGCCGATGTTGACAGCAGATTCAATCACGTCCCTGGTAGTGCCTGCTATCGGGGTCACAATGGCTGCCGGTCTCTGACCTTTGCAAACGTGTAAAGAAAAATTCTTAAGGCCCATTCTCAGAGAAGCAGGGTGCAGGAAGGGTATTCTACAGTAAAAGTATAGGTAGGTAATCAATATGAGTTCTCTATGACTTTAAACCATTGCTATGACGTCACACTATTGTTAAAAGTGTGGATTCGGATCTACAAATCTCTTACACTGGTCACAAAGTGTGGATTCGGAACGACGAATCTTTAGTAAAGTGTGGATTCGGAATTACGAATCCACACTTTAAACATGTCAGACAATTGTTCTCCATAATGAGCATGAATAGGACCGTCTGCGTGAAAATTTGTTTTCCGAAAATTACCGATGCATCTTTACTGTCAGATTTTCCGCCGTCACTGCAAAATCTACTTTTAGTCAGAAAGAAATCGTCGTCTGAACTATCCATTTTGACGTAAGGAGCCTGCGTGTCGATACACACGCTAAACACGTCAGGAAACAAAACGTTGCAACTTGACGCCACTTCCGCACTTGTGTACAACGTCTATGGAGAGTCATTTCAAGTATTTCCTAACAATTTTGGAAACATTTTATCAGTCCCAGATTCATGTCTTATCATCATTTTTGCAACAAATGGCCTTCATTGAGATGATATATGAAGAAAAAAGTGGCGTCAGGTTGCAGCATTCTTTCCAATACTTCTGTTGACGCAATGGTTTAAGTCGAAGAATACACTCGCAAGTGTGGATTCTTAATTGACGAATTCACTCGGCGCTTCGCGCCTCGTGATTCTTAAATTACGAATCCACACTTTCTCGTGTATTCTCCTTAACTTATTTCACGTCAAAACCCCTCTTCTTAATTTTACGAATTGGCACTTACACAGAAGATTAAGGAGGGAGCTCTTGCCAACGTTTGGCTGTCCAATAATGGCAACTTGGACTCCACTCCGCAATCTTTCACCACATCGATTGTCATCTAGATGAGCTTGTATGTCTGTGACAAGCTGCTTGACCCCAGCCTGAGCTGAAAGAAAGGAGGATTCTCATTGGATTATGCTGATAGGAGAGTGGGGTCAGGGACAAAGTTTTTTTTTGTTTTGCTTGTGCAGAACAGGGGAGGTGTCAGGAATAGAAACAAATCATTGGGGTTTTTTTAGGAGTCGGAGAAAAGTGTTAAGCCCGGTTCATACTTCATGCGAATGCGAAGCGAATTTGACGTCATGAAACATTCGCTGCGAAATTCGCCCGAGTTGGAATGTGTTCAACTTTTGCGAATTCGCAGCGCGAATACTTGCCATGACGTCACAAATTCGCGTTCGCGCCGAGTATGAACCGGGCTTAAGGCTGGTCTGCATTTACAGTTAGATTTCCCAACATTAACCCTCCTATGCAAACATACATTCTGTGCCAAGTAGCCCTTTCAGCCAAAATCAAAAGGACGGTTTTCAACAATTAAGAATTCCCAGCTTACATAAAGCAGGATTTAACTGGCTGGGACTGTTTAAGTATCTTGATACAGCTTTGCTCTGTCTGGGCGAGTGATAAAACAGCTGTGACCACAAATTGCCTGCTTTGTCAGTTGACCCAGTTTGACTAGTCACAGTGCTTGCTCACTTGATATAAACTGCTGGTAACTAGCCTTTGTTAAAGTATAGCAGGGGAAGTGGAAATGAATTTTGACTGTCTGTGACTGTTTAAATAGCAGGAGGGTTACACCTGAAAATTGTATGAGTTGCTAGTTACTGCTAGTACTTTTTTTTTCACGTCTACAGGGAGGGGGTAATTCCAAAAAACTTTGTTACAATTTAAAGTCAACTTCCCAGTCAACTTTTAGATGGAATTTGAGAATTCAATGAATCACTATCTTCCCAATAAAATGTTCATCCCTCCCCATATGGACAAAAGTAGATAAATGCTACTAAAACAAATGATTTCGTTTGTCTCTATTGAAAATTCCAGATTTCATTTTGTAACAAACGTTTTCCATCTGACTCTATAATCATCTCGCATCAGACTATTCCCCTCACATCAAGATATTGAATCCTGTTTAAAGATTCCAACTTGTAGTGATATATGTCTGATTTCCATACCTTGGTCCAGGACGCCTTCTTCAATGTTCTCATCTTCACTGAAGTCAATGAATGCTTCTACATGCGCAACACACTGTAAAACACAAATGTTTTGGTTTTAAGTACGGCAAGCAAGGGGACGCCATAGATTGAAAGTTGATTGATTGAAAGTTGAATGAAAGTTGTTCAAAAGACAACATGAGCATTCAGATTGCGGTTCTCATATAGCACGGGATGCAATAAAACTAGCAATAGGTAGTGTGCAGCCAATGGGGGCTAGTTATCAGTGGTGCGTGCGCGTGCATGACAAAGTCACTCACGAACCAATGATCAGCAGCCCCATGAGCTGGCATTTATGAATTATCGTATGCTGTTTTTCAACCTTCCCTGAAAATTCTACATTAAATCACCCACGCAATTTTATAAGCACTGTGTACATGTGTTTCCCCTGCCCATTCAAACGTGAGGTGGCCCACCTCGCTACTTTCAGTGACCACCTCGCTCAATTTTTGCCAATATCACCACCTTGCTGTGAAGATTTACAATAAAGGAAATATCAATTGAAAAAAAATCATTTTGTATCATATATGAGCGTTTTCCTTTACCTCCATGTATCAAGAACTCACAGTTTCGATGTGTTTTTGGAATCATCGCACATTTCTGTGAGTGCTGCATTCTTTTCAGTTTGCAGACTGCATAAATTTTGTTTCAATCATCTTGTTACCACCTCGCTCAGTTCATTAGCCAGGGGAAACACTGGTACATGCCGTCCGAGAACTTGTGGAAAAAAAAGCAATTGACGAGCAATTGACAAGCTTGCTAATGTGAGACTCAATCCGACGTCCTCCTGCTGAACAATGTACATGTAGATCAGGGGTGTGAGTGAACATTGATAAAAAGAGCTGAAAACACCTGAAAAAGGCGTAAAAAAGCTTATCTTTGGAATTCTCCTATACGTACTTTTGTGCACAGCAAGTGAGGGAAAATAAAGCTGAAATCCAAAACAAAAAGCTGAAATCAGCTTTAAAGCTGAGATTTCACATCTCTGGTGGATATGTCTCAAGCACTCCACCTACTTTGATGAGTCGCAACCTCCAGGCCTCATACAACTGGCCCAGGTCTCCCTCCATCTGCCGCAAAGCCTGACGTCTCTGGGCTTCTGTCTCAGCCTGGATCAAATCTCCCAGACCTTCCACCTCAGTCAAGTCTAATTTACCATTTAAAAATGCCCTGGAGAGAGAAACAAACATCGAGGGGCGTATTCAAAACCTTGGCTTCATATCAGGTTTGGCTCAAGAATTCAGTTTTCCACTGTTGATCTTTAGGTACAATGGTACATTAATGCAATAATATGAGGCCAAACGTTTTGGAGTAATTTCATTTGATCAATGTCTCTTAATTCTACATATGATTCTGAAACCAGAGATGACGCCAAAGCAGGGATAAGGCCAAGGTTTGGGAGACCCCTAAAGATCTCACAGTATCAGCGGCCGGACATAACAGTGATCAGGATAGTAAGGTTCAGCATGCAAATTGCTGTTTCAGTGGTGGACCTACTTACAAGAGCTTTTATACAAATATTGAGTGGCTCACAGTGGCATGGGAGGAATATTATCACAATGTAAAATCCGGACTTTTCGCCTCGTGAAAATGGAAAAGTCCAGATTTTACCAAGAGATAATTTCTCCCATTTCACAATTTAAAGCCACTCAATATTTGTTTTATAACTGACATAGAATTGCTTGTCATTTGATTTACGGTTAAAGGGAATATACATCATTTGCTTTTGCTGTAATTTTCATAAATGGATGGAATTGGGGGGTTGGAAATATATAGCAAATATAGTTACACTGACTTTTTTGAGGTTTTGGGTTCGAAAATGCTATAAAAACCAAGAAAAACAATCATTTTCCAGTAGTCTGGTTCCCTGACTCCATATAAGAAGAAACAGAGCAGTTTACATCTATTGGGGAATTGTAAGGTCAGGGAACCAGTCTAGCTGGCTTGTACCCGTTCATAGGTGTGTAATCAATTGCAAACAAGTGCGATGGTCAATTGGGGCCAGTATTTGAAAAAAAGCCAGTTTTTTCCAACGCTGGTCAGCCGACCAGCGTTGGAAATTGATACAAAAATACCACTTTTCTTGAAAATGACAGTATACCAGATGCCATGATTTTACAGGATGCTTTACACTGTCATTCACTAACAGTCCAGCAAGGTATTTCAAAATGATTTGGTAGTTTTATTTTTTGATGTTTGCAAATGTTGTATTTTCCCTTTAAAATGAACTTCTATTTCAATACAAAATTGGTGGGAAATGTATTTCAAACTTCCAAACCATGCATGCCTTCATGGAATGTGTGAACCCAACTCTGTAGCTACGGTATTGGCTCTTGGGAACAATACGCATTACGCACAACACTCAACGCGCACGCCAGCATGCATTTGCGCACACAAATACTGCGTCATGCAACAAGTATGATCCTACTGTTGAAAAGTAAATCCCATTCACCATGGGCAAATGGGACTTTTGAGCCCTGGCGTGAATGGGAGCGAGAATGAATGTCACGTGATGTGAGTTCCACCAATCAAATGACAAGGATCTGTATGTCAGTTATATAATACAAAATATAGCACTTTGATGGTGCAGGTTTATCATTACACACAGAGTGAAAAAAAGGGGCAGGGAATGCAAGCATACAGTCTGAATTACAGGCCGTCGTATCCATGGCAGAGTCAAGTGAAGGCACTTTGGTATCACATGAGATTGCAGAATGAAAATAAAATGCACAACCAGCCTACACCATCCTTGACAGATTACAGACCAAATGTGTGCAAATCCTACAATCAAACTACAGTTTAGAAAAGGATGCTAGTTTCTGAATTTTGCTCTTTTTTTTTTTAACATTCTACCAGTATGAAGCCAATTTTTTCTTTGTATGCAACTTTCTCATCCTTATTGCGTGATTGTTCAGCCAGCCATATTTGAAAAAAACCCAAGGCTTTACTATACTTGCACTCGACACAGTCGACTCTCCATGTCAACCTTAAAGCTATAGTCCATCATTTGCAGCCATCCGAAAAGTAACTGGCGTAATTACTGTTGGAAAACAAACTTGGTTGAAAGATAGTAAGGGAACTAAACTCCCTGTGAAATTATTCTTTCTGGGAAGCTGTCATTTTGAAGTAATCAACGAAAGAAGGCATTTCCAACGGTGATTCTTAAGAAGCACCGTAGGAAAATTTAAATTAGTAGTTCGTTTTGTTATTCAGCGCAGCGCGCACAAGTATTGGAATGACGCACACGCGCGCGCGGTTGTTATAATTCGTCGGATCAGTGCGCGACGCTGCGTATAGCTGCAATTACAAAACAATTCAAAACATGATTCAGTAACTTTTGATTTGAATTGAGATCTTAGAATGCTGTTTTTCAGCTTAGCTGAAACTTCATCAGGTTAGTTGCTCAGTATCCTTTATTAGATTTTGAACACTTTTGTTGCTTCAAACGAACAAAATGCACTAATTACAAATGATGGACTATAGCTTTAAAATACCCAACGGAATGGACCAATGAAATTCTACAACCCCACCATGCCCTGCTTCCGTGTACCATGTATTTACCGCTTAGTGAACTCCCCAGGCTCAGCGTGTCTTAGGCCAGGGATCGCATCCAGGGCGGAGTGCATTGCCGTGACAACAGCAGACCCACCGTGGACATGAAACTCACAAACGTCCTCACCAGTAAAGCTCTGTGGTCCTAATAAATCAGTTTATAAACAGCATTATGAATGCAAGCAGAGGCAGTACATGTATGTTATTGGTGCTATCCCTACAAGGATAGCTCTGAGGTTGCTTGTACTCCCCAGCAAGTTATATGTCTTTAACCCTAACCCACCTCACTCCTCCAAAATCCTCCTGGCGGTTTTGGAGGATTCTAGATGATTGAGGATGAATGGTGATTGAATCAAATGAGGATTCTGGAGGATTGAGGATGAATGGTGATTGAAGCACATGAGGATTTTGGAGGATTGAGGATGAATGGTGATTGAAGCACAAGAGGATTTTGGAGGATTGAGGATGAATGCATTTTGAGGCAGGACTGTCTGATGATTTGAAGGATTTGGCGTTGGTTATCCTTCATTTAAACACGAGTGCAAAGTCTTGGGATGAGGAGGATTTTGGAGGATTGAGGATGAATGCATTTTGAGGCAGGACTGTCTGACAATTTTGAAAAATTTAGGCGGAGTTGCAAAATTTTGGAGGATTTTGGAGGATTGAGGATGGTTGTAAGCAACAAGGGCCTAGGGGGTTAGGGTTAAGGTTTTCCTAACAACTGACAGTTACTGATTACTTACTTGATGTTTTTTTCTCCTCCAGACAAATGTATAAAGAGATTGACTGGGAAATTAGAAACAACTAGTCCTGATGATGTAGCTAACAATGCACACATAATTTTGTCGTGAAGGTTTCAACATTGTTGCATGGTTGAGTCTACATCTACCAAATAAACTTTGATGTACCTTTGACATGCTTGGGGTAATGAGCACTACTTGATTTTTGCTTTTGGGAGTTACTTACTTTCACTGCCCTAACATGCTGGTACTTTGACTAATGAAAGAAGAGGCATTGGCCGAAGATGTGTTAAGGATGTGACTTTGCATTTAATTTTGTACACATTTAGCAAATATTAATTTGGCATAATAAATCAACAATGATTGACATAATAAATAGCAGGCAGTCAAAACTTAACTATGTGTACATGTACGTACCACGAAAAGCATTGCGGTGCTTCGAGGTTTTGTAAATGAAATAGGTTTTAATTATCGTTAATCGTTTTAAAAGGTTTAAAAAATCGTTAATTATTTGTGCTATATGTTTAACTCAAAGGAAGACCACATGAATGTAGGTCCTCTTTTAACATTTTGGGTTTCGTTTTAACGTTTTGTGAAATTTGTTAATGGATTTAGATTGTTTACCTTTTTAAAACTAAAAAGTTACATCCTCAAATTGTGCATGAAGTATTAATAAGAAACTTAACTGACCCGGTAGCCAGACTATGAGTCCTTTGTCCACAGTCTCCCCATCTGTCGGGTTGTACAATCTCCTCAAATGCACTTTCTTAGCCTCTGGGAGATTGGCCATTTTGGTGACGGCCAACAGAGCTTTGGAGGCCCCAGGGCCTGAGACACGGATGACTGCCACTCCGCATTTCCCCTGCCCAGAGGACAATGCAAATATGGTGTCTTGGGAAATGTCCTCAGTAGCCTGTGCTGATGTTGAGGCTCTCTGTGATTGGTGACTACTTTTTGCTTTGAATGGCCGTCCACCCAGAATGCTCTGTGATTCTGAAGCAAATTTGCCAGTTTCGCCTCTGGACTGGTAGTGCTGGTTGACTGGTATGTGAAACCATCGTTGGAGAATACGTAATGAGGGAACTGTTCCTAATAACTTTGCACTTTTCCAAGTCCAACCCTCGGTTTGGTAAGGATTGGCATGACAACACACTACAGAAAGTCTCCTGCATATAAATGTGCTGTATAAAGTCTTTAGAAAATGCACACCACACCTTCTTTGAAGCAGTTGGAAGTGCTTGGTACTCACTGCCATGCCTGTAAAACGGTAAAAACAGTAAATGTATGTATATCAGTAATGCCATATAACAATAATTCAGAGAGAGACTTTTAAATGCAACAAGACATGGCAAACATGGTTACAGAGAACACAATTATTTTTAACTGATTCAAATTGGCTCAAAAGTTTGCAGTGTCTAGTGTGGTGACATGATGGATATATGAACAATATGTCAAATCAGGTGCAGTGCCTAGTGGTGGCACAATGGATATTGTAAGACCGAAATTTGGACTGTCCCTGATACAACTCTCACCACAGGTGTTCCACATTACACCCCAAGGTCTTCACGTCACTCTTTTCCAAGCAACACACCTACAGCATACCAAGACTGTGATTTAAAAATGACATCAAAAGTGTACTTCCCAGACTGACCATTACGTCAGTCCATGGTCAGTCTACCTTTACTCAGAAATGATGTCACATAAGTTATGTTTTCCTTATATGACATCATCTCCTATTTTCACCTAAAGTGGTCCCTCTGAATCTGTATAAAATGTCCACATTTTCCCACTTTCATTGAGTTCTCCTTCTTCTCCCTGGGAAACCAGAGGCATAGCCATAAGCTGATTCAGCAATATGCTTTGGCCAGTCTTTATCTACGATATTCTGTCTTCCGTCTTCTACTTCTGTACATACACAATACCGGTAGAATATTGAGTTCTTAAAAATAAACCAGTTTTCCATATAGCTGAGCTCATAGTCATTACCAGTGTGTCTTTGTATAGTCTTCGTAGTCGACGTTTATCCTGCTCCTAGCCACAGCTACCCCAAAAGACTATAGCAAAATTCTGTATGTTACAATATGAACAATGCCAAATCAGCTGCAGTGCCTAGTGGGGACATGATGGATAAGAACAATGTCAAATCAGCTGCAGTGCCTAGTGGTGACATTGTGGATATGGTCAATGTCAAATCAGCTGCAGTGTCTAGTGGTCAGTCAGTCAATTAGTAAGTTCGTCAACTCAAACAGGCCTAGCCTGAGATGAGCACAATGCCTGACACGCCAAGCGTCATTGTGGCCCATACAGCTGGTCAGCTCTTCCTTGGTGTCGACTTTCATCAGGTTGACCATCTTCACTGGTCCCCCCGCTACAGCTTGCCATGAGTGGGTTACCAAAGGTCACCTTGTTTATTGGCAGCTCAGGATGCTGGTAGCAGTGACCAGCAAGCTAGGCGCATTCTCGGCTCCTGGATATTCATGGGCATCCTGGGGAGATTCCATACAGCTACTCGTTGGTTGTGTGCGTCCTCCAGCTGGCATTTAGGATACCCTGGATCATCCTTGTATAGCACCCATGAAGGGAACTTTAAGTGAGGGTCTATACCTCACACCCGTAGCAAGGAGAACAGTTTTGATGGTAGCGTGGAAGAACCTCAGCTTGACCTTCCTTAATACTATAGGCGGGACCTCCAGATCTTGCTCATGTCACTGAGGGCTCTCCAAGTGAGGGCTTTTCTGGTCTTCATCCTCCGTACTCTGCATTATGGACCCAAGGTATTTAAACTCAGCTCAAAAACTCTTGGGCTTCTCGGATCTGGTCTGAGAGCAGATGGACAATGTCAAATCACCTGCAGTGCTCAGTGGTGACATGATGCATGAAGAATGTCAAATCAGCTGCAGTGCCTAGTGGTGACATGATGGATATGAATAATGCCAAATCAGCTGCAGTGCTTAGTGGTGACATGATGGATATGAACAATGTCAAATCAGCTGCAGCCCTTTGTGGTGACATGATGGATATGAACAGTGTCAAATCAGCTGCAGTGCCTAGTGGTGACATGATGGATATGAACAATGTCAAATCAGCTGCAGTGCCTAGTGGTGACATGATGGATATGAACAATGTCAAATCAGCTGCAGTGCCTAGTGGTGACGTTATGGATATGAACAATGTCAAATCAGCTGCAGTGCCTAGTGGTGACATGATGGATATGAACAATGTCAAATCAGCTGCAGTGCCTAGTGGTGACGTTATGGATATGAACTACATGTATATCAGATCAGCTGCAGGACCTAGTGGTGACATGATGGATATGAACAATGTCAAATCAGCTGCAGTGCCTAGTGGTGACGTTATGGATATGAACTACATGTATATCAGATCAGCTGCAGGACCTAGTGGTGACATGATGGAAATGAAATGTCAAATCAGCTGCAGTGCCTAGTGGTGACGTTATGGATATGAACTACATGTATATCAGATCAGCTGCAGAACCTAGTGGTGACATGATGGAAATGAACAATGTCAAATCAGCTGCAGTGCCTAGTGGTGACATGATGGATATGAACAATGTCAAATCAGCTGCAGTGCCTAGTGGTGACATGATGGATATGAACAATGTCAAATCAGCTGCAGTGCCTAGTGGTGACGTTATGGATATGAACTACATGTATATCAGATCAGCTGCAGGACCTAGTGGTGACATGATGGAAATGAACAATGTCAAATCAGCTGCAGTGCCTAGTGGTGACATGATGGATATGAACAATGTCAAATCAGCTGCAGTGCCTAGTGGTGACATGATGGAAATGAACAATGTCAAATCAGCTGCAGTGCCTAGTGGTGACATGATGGATATGAACAATGTCAAATCTGCTGAAGTGCCTAGTGGTGACATGCTACAATGTCAAATCAGCTGCAGGGTCTAGTGGAGACATGATGGATATGAACAATGCCAAATCAGCAGCAGAGCCTGGTGGTGTCATGATATGAACAATGTCAAATCAGCTGCAGTGTCTAGTGGTGACATGATGGATATGAACAATGTCAAATCAGCTGCAGTGCCTAGTGGTGACATGATGGATATGAACAATGTCAAATCAGCTGCAGTGCTTAGTGGTGACATTGTGGATGTGATCAGTGTCAAATCAGCTGCAGCTAGTGGTCAGTCAGTCAGTCAGTCAGTTTGTCCACTCAAACAGGCCTGGCTTGAGACGAGCATGATGCCTGACACACCACATGTCATGGTTGCCCATACAGCTGGTCAGCTCTTCCTTGGTGTCGACTTCCACCAGGACCTTGACCATCATTTTCGCTGGTCTCCCCTGGGACAGCTTGCCATGAGTGGGCTCTCAAAGGTCACCTTGTTTATTGGCAGCTCAGGATGCTGGTAGCAGTGACCAGCAAGCTAGGTGCATTCTCCACTCCTGGATCTTGATGGACAGCCCGCTGGGGAGATGCCATACAGCTCCTCATTGGTTGTGTGTGTCCTCCAGCTGGCATTCAGGATAGCCTGGATCATCCTTGTATAGCACCCATGAAAGGAACTTAGTGAGGGTCCATACCTCACACCCGTAGTGAGGAGAACGGTTTCGATGGTAGCGTGGAAGAACCTCAGCTTGAGCTTCCTTAATACTATAGGTGGGACCTTCAGATCTTGCTCATGTCACTGAGGGCTCTCCAAGCGAGGGTTTTTCTGGTCTTCATCCTCCGTACTTTGCATTATGGACCCAAGGTATTTTAAGTCCTCAACACACTTGAGGCTTCCATCATCATGGATCTTGAGGGGTTCATACTCGCTGACATTGTATGCTATGTACTCTGTCTTTTTGGCATTCAAGTGAAGGTCCAACCTGTCACAATCCCTTCCTACTCAGCTCAAAAGCTCTTGGGCTTCTCGGATCTGGTCTGAGAGCAGACCAATGTCATTCGCAAAATCCAGATCTGAGATCTTGACCTGCCTGGTTCTCCTCGACTTCCTTGGTAGGATGGTGAAGCCGATCCTCAAGGTCCTTGAGAGCTTGCCTCAGGGTGTAGTCGAGCACAACAATGAAGTGGAATGGGGTGAGCGTGTCCCCCTGGAGGACTCCAGCCAGGATGTTGAACAATGACCACACAGCTTTCACCATCCGGGGTGATCACCTTGGACTTGGTATCTGTGTAGGTGGCCTGAATGGCTTTCAGGAGTCGTGGGAGTATTCCATATGCCTCCAGTCTTTTCCGGATCTTCATCATTTTTTCCTGATGGATCGAGTAAAATGCTTTCTTAAAATCTACGAAGGCTAAGACAGCTGTCAGGTTGTTCTTCTTGACCTCCTAGATGATTCTTTTAAGGGCAAGTATCTGAGCATGGGCCTCCCATGAAGCCATTCTGGTTGTATCTCAACATTGGGTCTATGGCAGCTCGGATCCTGATAAGAATCAGGCGGTTGTAGACCTTGGCCAAGCAAGATGCAGGTGATCGATCGAGGCGGAATATGACTCATAGTTGGCACTCATCACTGACCCAAAATTTAACCAGCCCTATAGGCCTATAGGAAATATTTTGAAAATGCACTGGACTCTCCATTCCAAACATGTAGATGAGACTATGGAATGGAGAGTGCATTTCAAAGTATTTCTTAACAAAATTGGAAATGTTTGTACCGGTAAGTCCCAGATTCATGTCTTTTAACATTTTTTGCCACGAGACTGATCTTCATTGAGATAATTAATACGAGGAAACAAGTGGCGCGAGGAAACAAGTGGCGCCAGGATGCAACATTTTTTCCGAGTTGAATTTCAATCGGAAAGCCGGGCATTACTTACATTGGCGTGTGTTATTTACATTGGCGCACACTACTTACATTGGCGTGTGTTATTTACATTGGCGTACACTACTTACATTAGGCAAAAAAAAAAAGTCTCCGGTTTCTGGTATGGAGCTTGTCCAAAAAGTGGTGCGGCGACGCGGCTTTTTTTTTTTAACCCGACTTTTTTGCTTCAAATGTCGGCTGATGACTGCAAATGGTGCCCGACTAAACTTAGTGCAAATAAATGGGAGTCCAGAGAGGTCACATAAAGCTTATTCTCGATCATAACCCCATCTAAAAACAGGTTAAAACTGTGCAGCAGCAGGATTCCAGTCAAACCAGTGAGTTTGGCGGTTTTGAGACATCATCTTTCATTGAAAAAAAAAACGTTTTCATTTTGCCGACGCGCATGGCTACGGCGACGCGCGTGCATACCAGAAACCGGAGACTTTTTTTTTTGGCCTT